ATACTGTCATAAAAATTCCGCATTCAAAGTTCTGTCAGCGGCCACGTTGGTTGTCGAATGCCGCAAGGTCGTTGAATAAAAACAATATTTTTAATCTCGCACTTCCGCAAATGGACCTCAATTTTTTTACCTAGTTGCTCTGGTAAAAATATGGCCAATTGTCTTAGAACACAAAAAACTCGGAATAATTTTTAATAGTGACTCTAGAAGTAAAAATCAAATCTAAAAAAAATACTTCAAAGATAGTTTAGTCGCCTAGAAAATTATATAAAAACAAGGACAGACTTAAACAGTCATGAAAAATAAACAGCTACTTTTTTATTTTAAATCTCAAAATGCAAGTGTTTTGGTGTGACCTAATATGCAGGACAGACTGAAATTAGATTTAATTAGATTATGGGTCTTAATTGGCTCCCAAAATATTCAATGCTGAGATACAAAATGTTTTAGCTAATTAAAATTTTTGTAGATATTGATTGAGGACATTTAAGATTCTATTATACTTTATTCAATTTTTCGTAAATCTATTAAATTTTTAACTGCAACGTAATAAAATTTAAATAAAAATTAGCTTTTCTAAAGTTTTTTTTTGGTACAATGGTAAGCGTAGAAAATTATTATTTGCCTACCGTGGTTGAACAAAATATCAGCAGTAGCCAAAATATCAAATTCAAACCCGTGGTGGAAATTTAAAAAAATCTTGTACGTTGACAGTTGCTACTTAATGATCCACAAATGTTTACAAAACTTCATAAAAATATTTTTTCGTTGACAATTTTAACAAAAAGTGTTTTTTTCGTAAAACTGTAGTTCCCAACTTTCGTTTTCAAAAGTCATCTAATCAATTGACATAAAAAAATGGCCAGTCAATTCCACAACCATACATATGATTGAGAATATAGCAATACAATATAATAAAATAATGAAAGACTTATAACTCATTCCTCTACTTCTACAGGGTGAAAAGATATTTTTCACAAATAGGGCCAACAAAATGCACTATAAACAGCTGAAATTCCGAATTTCGCATGTTCAATCATATTCAATGAGTATTACTTTTTGTATTTTAACAGTATACTAACATATATTTTGCTAAAAGAAAATTCGGATTTAATAATGGCAGTATTACTGAAAATATTCCCAAATTTGGGAATGTTAAAGTGTTAGTGGCTATCTTTGGTTGTAATAGTCTCAGACAATGTTCCCTTAAGAGATGAAGCAAAAACTGTTCTACGAAAAAGAATGCCCCAACTTTAAAAAGGTGTAAATTTTAGTTATCTCTAATATATGATAATTTGGCAAAAAAACGGGATATAAAATTAAATGAATACGCCCCCTGGTGGTCACGCTAAAAATTTAAAAATAGTTTTCCTTTGGCTGCTTTAGTCGCAGTTTTTTTTTCACCCCCAGTCTTTACGACGATTAGATAGGGCCGAGTGGCCTTCTCAATTGGTACAAAATACAGAATCTAATAATCTGGAGACTTCACATTTAGCATTAATTTTTTGAAACGAGCGCTTGTATAATAATAACAATGGGTAATTACGAATAGCAATCGAAATAATTATAGGCCTCGCGGTTGCTTCCTCCACTTTCGTATTTGGCCACATTCTCTCTCGTACTGCGTCTAATCGAACCGGATAAATCGAGCACACGAACTTCCTTATCGCATTAACCGCGTTAATAATTCTTCGGGCGACAAAAGACAGGCGAGAGAAGACCCGTAACGACGCTCTTCCTTTCCGCGATGTGTCGTAGTAAGTTTTTACGCAAACGCCGTCGCATTTGATAAGATAAACGCGCCAAGATACTTAAGCCAATGGATTTATGAATGAACTTTCCCCCTTCCGCGCGCGCCCCCCACCAGCCGACCGCCCGCGACTGCCGCCACGTGACACACTCGCGGCCCGCTAAAGTTACCCGCAGGCCGTAGAAAACTCGCTTTCGTTTAATCAAAATGTACTACAGGGTGTTCGAAAAATAAACGGACAAGGCGTTTACGCGTTGAAAAATATGAAAAAGTGTTCATAAACATGGGGCTTAGGAAATGCAGTTTTTTCTTGATATCGAAACAAATATTCACTCGATTCTCTTGAAATTTGTCAATGCTGCGTGGCTAATTTGGTCCTAATGGGAAATGGAGTCTTGGGGCACCTTGGCGAATATTACTAGCAAAAAAATGTACGCCACTGGCTTTTTGTAACTTTAATTACCACAACACTCGAGTGACGAAAATCCTCATGCCTAAGTACAATGTCGCCAGCAGCTTTAACTGCTAGAAGTTCCTCTACATGTACATAACCAAATAAAGTTTAAGCACGAAGGAGCTCGTCCTTTAATGAAGATCGCATTTTTAAGAAGTTGCTCCCCTTACTTAAATCCAATAGATTTTTATTTGTGGCGACACCTTAACGCGATGATTAACGTTAATGCTATAGAAACGGTAGAAGAAGTAAGCAATATTTGTTGATGGATCGAACTTCAATCAACCGGAATCAAATTTCAGATATATTAAAATCGGTGAACCTAGATTGAAATCATCTCATTTAATTGAAAAATGCTTGTCTGAAACCTAGTTTTTTTATAACGGTCAAATTATCAACAAACGCCACAGCTATGGGTTCTCCATTATCAACAGTCATCGCCAATAAATTTATGGAAGCCTTTGAGAAGAAAGTCCTTGCCACTTTTCATATAAAACTACGCCACGTTGATGACACCTTTGTTATTTGGTATCATCGTCAAGAATCTCTACGAGATCTGCTTTTCTCTAATAATAATAATAATAATAATAATAATTTCAATATTAGGGATATTAAGCATTCCCATTACAAAACACACTTCATCACAACTTCCCAAAGAAAGAGAGTCCGAAAACAACCCCACACTTGCTCCTGTTGTGCTTCCATACGTTCAAAATATTGCTGACCCCATATCAAGATAAAATTGTTTCGAGATACAAGAAGTTTGCAACATTCCATGCATATGCGCCAAAAAATATATTGGAAAAATATACACCAGGCTAAAAGAACTTAAAATAGCATTAAGACTACGACAAACAAGCTCATCAGTTGTTGCCGAAAATAATCAATAATCATAAGCAATTCTTCTACTAAAGAGTGACTCAGAAACCAAATTCTTTATAGATATAAATAGGTATAAAAATGTAATACATATAACATATAAAAATAAAAATGAAAAAAAAAATGCAGAACAAAAACAATGTTCCATAAAAAAATGATTATTTTAATTTTTAAATGGCAAATTTGTGACATGATTTGAAATAAGTTTAGTCAAGAGGTTAGGTCAGCAGATTTTTTTCCGCTTTTCACGTATTTATATTTCCTAGTTCGAATCAACTTTGAAGAGGAAGTGGGATATCCATGATTATCATTAAGGAAAAAATTCAAGCAAAAAATTCCAATATATGCGCATTTAAATGCATAAAATTTTCATTTGCAGAATATATGCATCGAAATGAACAAAAAATGCAAATCATATCATTTCTTTACCAAGACACCACAGACCTAGTTTGATAAATGTAAATGACATAAAAAATTCGCAATAAAAGTTTTTTTATTCATCGAAACACCACACATTAATACTTAAAATAGCAAATCGCAAAACAAAAAATCTGAAAGCCTTACATTACATTTACCAATGGAAACTGATCTCTTATAAATTCTAAAACCCTATTGATACCATGAGGCAAACAAGTAACATGAAATAGGTTAGAACGAAATATTTTAAAATTTTGACAAAAGTAGTTTGAATTTTTCTGTCGGAAAACTATGTGGCAAAAAAAAAGTTGGTTAATGTTTCTTGGACAACTCTGGTTACACTTAAATTCTTGGTTTTTCCCAATTGTTTGGATGCAACCATTATCAATGCATTTATTGGTTTCCCTTAAGACTCCAATCAATGCTCATGCAAAATATCTCCCAGAAGTCAGTTGTTTCATCAACCAAAATATATTTGTACCCACTTTTTCATTAATGTTGATTCGTTCGGTATGTAAAATTTACAATATTTTGTCGAAAATGATCATAATTGCGGTGGATGAATCTGTAAAATCCGAAAAAGCGATAAATAATTTGGGTTTACATTCGATTAAAAGAACTTTCCTGTTATACCAAATTTCCTATTATATCAAAAAACAAATATCTTTCTTTTTTTACTACATGGCGGGAAAAAAATGTAAAAACATGGTTCATACTTACAATTTTCGAAAAAGCCTTACAAATCAAATTGGTGCCATCCCAAGTGAACTCCCGATAGCTCGACAGATCGATAGATCCACGATATATGGAAGTTAATTTTCCGAATTTTAATAACCACAAAACAAGGCAGTACGGTTTTTTGTGTAAATTGACTGAAATTATTTTTAAAATGCGATGAAATTTATGTTTATTTATATTGTGCGTTACGTCGCCGTCACGTCGTTCTTAGAACTAAAAGAAATCGATATTTTTATTAGATTTTCGTATTTCATATTCAGGTATTCCCTGACGAGGCGGGTTATAGCTAAATTGGACATCAAAAACGCATAATTTATTATAAAATACATATTATTATTAAATAATGATAGATAACACTCTACAATTGCAAGATGATCGAATCTGACTAGTCAATTTACCAGTCCTAACACTACAAGGCACACATAAACATTCTTGTGAAGTAGTAGTAGTAGACGATATGAAAGATACTAAAAATTGCCACCTCTTTAAACTATCGGATTGTGTTTGCAATATTATTCCATTAATTTAACAAACTCTACAGTGAGGATTTATCCTGGTTAATTGAATGAATGTATTTATACATAAGAAAGCAGTAAAGTACCTGAGTCGGCAGCAAAAAATCCGTGTTATGTACAAAACATAAAAAAAATTCAAAAAATGCATTGCCATGACACTTCCGCATCTCATTCGTCCTTCGCAGTAGCATCACAACAGCAATTTTATAAATGACTTGACAATTCAACCACGTTTCGTTTGTTCCAGGTGTTATCATCAGTATTATTAGTGATCCTCTGCCTGCATCTCGCCCACAGCCGGAGGCTGACCGACGACATCGACAACACGGTCAGCACGAACGCGGCGGGTATGAAACGATTTTTTTCGTTTTTGAAAAATCACGACAACCGATTGTAACGCCATTTCAGGCAACCTGGGAAGCTTGGATTTTAGAGATCAAAGAGACTACGTCAAGATAAGTCAGACCCCGGTCCCGGTTATAAGCCGAAACGTCGGCACCCACGTCGAGCTCTACTGCGAGGCGATGGGCTCGCCCCCGCCCACCATCCAATGGTACAAGAGAAACATGAGAATTACCGAGGTACCAGGACGCATTTTCCCCCGAAAATGTTCACTTAACGTTCGAATAAAACATTCCAGAACGAAAGTTTCGACGATTCGAACCTCATCGACGGCACCGCAGGTTTGGCCAAAGTCGCTTCCCGGTTGGTAATCAACTACGTGTTGCCAAGACACCAGGACATCTACCGGTGCGTAGCAGAAGCCGGTTCCCAAATGGCCAGCGCCATCACCGAGCTAATAGTACCGAATAAAGAGGGCAGAGAGATGAACTTCACCCAATTGGTGGCTTCCAAAATATTGGGGGCCCATCACATGCCGAGGGTCACTTTCTGGGCCCCCGCCTTTATGGACGTTATTGGTAAGCTAATCCTCAATCAATAGGGAAACCACCTTTTTTTGGGGAAATACGGAGGAAACACGAGGACATTTAAAAAAATATATGGTAACATACTGGATTAGTAAAAAGTACGGAAACGCTTAAATATCACCGAAACTGCCAAAGCTGATGGTTTTTGAACATATATATATATATAAAGTTGGCACTGCCAGCCAAGACGGTCCATGGCTTGGTTGCATATTCATACACTCTTTCTATTCATCACTTGTGATGGCCAGTCTTATATTCCATAGTAGTCCCTCTCCATCAATTGAATCCATTTAATTTTGAGAAATACTATTGTTAGATTAAACTAGCTTTACGGGTGGGATATTTAATTTATATTTTTTCGACTCAATAATTCAGCTCTCATTCTAATTTTTTCCTCAACATATATAATAATAGTCATCAATTTTTTTTCCTGAATGCCCTTTTCTATAAATAACATTATGTAATTAAAGTTATAAAGATAAATATTTAGTATAGGAAAAAATGATTGAGGTTCTCGTTGAGACAACCTGTTTGAAATTCTGAATCCGATCGAAACTAAAATACTGCATACTAGGAAATATGGAAAATATTTATTTATATTTTTAAAGGTGGTTTCTCCTTGGTCTTAAATATTGACAAATTGAATGTACTTTTGTATCCTCCTAGGATCCGACGTCATCCTGCCTTGCAAGTCGGTGGGCAACCCGAAACCGAATCTCATGTGGATCGATCCCAACTCCAAAATAATCACCGACAACGAAAAGTTCATGGTACATCCGGACGGTGAGCTTAGGATACGGTCCATATCGTGGAACGATATGGGAGTGTACAATTGCATAGTGCAGAATTCGGTGGGCGAGGATTCGGTGGAGACATTTTTGTACCCAATGCAAGAATCTTCAAAATAACGCTGGCAAAGGCAAAGGAAGCAGAGCGACACTAGGAAGTTGTCGTAAAGTCTAGTCAAAACCATTCCAAGATGCTGTCTTGGCAACTTATTTCGTCAATGTTACTACTAGTATTTAAAACCCAAATCGATAGGTATTAATAGGTTCTAAGAAAATAAATTATGTACTTATTTATATTTATACTAGGAGAAAATGTATAATAAAATACAATGCGAAGCAATTTTGTTTTTATAAAATTCCCTTTATATAATGATATTCTTCCAATTAGCGTTCTAATAATGTATTAATCCCAAGATTATGTCCGGTGTATTGTGGGCTTTACTGATCAAGACAGAAACGCCTAATTTAACTATCTGATTTTTATACTGTATGGAAAATAGTCCCTAAATAATGTTCCAAACCTACGAAGCAACTCTGACCCACTATAGGAAACTTATTAATTCCAATAAGAATCTCAAATATCCTTGGAGACCAAATTGCAGGAAAATTTAAATAGCAAGAACGCTGATCAACTTTTTTGAGTGCAAGTACTCACCTTTAGCTGGAAGCAGTAGACGCGAGTACATGGTTCCTGCATGTTTTTCCAAGAGAGATTCAGAAAGCGGGCCAAGTTCAGGTCCACGTTTCACCTCCTCACGGTACCAAACACATAAACTAAACCAGAAGAATCATGCAATCAGAACTATTGAAAACAATGGCGGAAAAACTAAATCTGGAGCGTTTTTGGCGAGCGGCTTACTACGAATTTACTACGAGACGCGTGCTACGCGTCATAGGCGATGCGTACTGCACGAGTCATGAACGTTCTGAATACGTATGAAGTTTCGGTAGGGACGATAAAAGATTCTAGAGCAAATAAATAAGTCGGCAAGTAACAACGCGTATCTTTTACAGCAGGCAATCATCAATTAATCCGATTGCAATCGTATGAAACATATCGGATAACCGTGTTTATATTGAGACGCACGCCAACGTACCTGACGCAATATCTGCGACCCGGTGTTGGATCCCTGCAGACGATCGTTAATTCGGGAAACCCCCGATAATGTTCGGTCTCATCCACGCACTTTTACGATACAAACACCAAAACAATCTCCAAAAATAAAACTAAAACTGCACGATATCCACTTTGTAAACCGCGTTCGCCTGCTTCCACGGAGAGAATTTGTCTACGGCACAATGGCGACTTGCCCACCACTGCCAACCACGGAATGCTCAGAAATCGCGTAGTACGGACAATCACGGATAGATGACGGATATGCATGACGTCGGAACCAAACAATACTCATTACTCAAATACTTCGGCAGATGGCGCCATAAGTTGCATATGTATTACATTAGTTTTTAAAGAATGACAAACAAAGAATTCGTGGTGGCGCTGCACGCAGTAAACAAACGTAACTGCTTTATCTATGAAAATAACGTTTACATGTTACCTTAGCACAGTTGACCAGCCCAACGGGAATAAAGCATTGTTAATAGTTCCGTTGTCATTTTGGTGGTGTGTGACTTACGCAAAACAACGCATCTTACGGTGAAATCCACTATTATCGTGATTAAAGCGGGGTTTTGTAGAAGCATTATTAAATGCAAAACATATAGTTTTAATTAGGTCTACTGCCGGAACTTAAGGACATTTTTACAGTATGCCTTCAATCTAGCAAGATTAAAAGCACTTCCTATGAAATCATATTGTAATGGGCTTAGTATCCATAAATTATGTTGCTAAAGTTGATTTGTGCCTTAGCTTAAAGAATATTTTTGTTACATCAAAAACTGTTATTAGGAAAATTGTTATTCAATATTTTTGGAGAGGTATCCACCAACAATTTGTTTTGTGGTTGGAAGCAACTATACCAAATGAACTATTTTTTTAAATAATAATATAAAAATGCAAGGCAAACCACCTGGTAATATGAAAATAAGTAGCTTAATATTTTCTCCGCCAGAATTCTCACTAAATGGTAAAATCGCCAGTAGTAAAAATATTTGATAGCGCTTTAGTATTCTACGGAAATATTCTACATGAAAAATGTGAACAATTTATGCACAACAATTTCTTCCTCGAAAACAAGGCAAGATAGGAAAAAAAAATCAAGGGACAAAAAAGTTCCATTTTTATTTTCTTAATTTGAAGGGAAAAAAAATAAAATTCACAGTGGCGCACATATATGTTTTTTTAAATATTCGATAGGGTGCCTCCCAGGTCAATCAAACAAAAAACAACACTAACAAATCGGTCAAGGGAAATTTAGTATATTTATTTTAAAACTTTTTTTCTTAAGTTTTAAACTTTTTAAATCATTCAAACTATGCACTTTAGAACCCATTTTTTTCTGAAAACGTGTTCTGATTTTTAAATTATCCGAACGTTTTTAGGGGGTAAAATGACAGAAAGAACTGGATTTAAACAATTACATTTTATTTTAAATACTTCTTCCCTTTAGGAACCAAAATTTCATAAAGTCAGTCTTAATAATTAATAAAACCTTACAAAATAGAAATGAACTCTAAGTACAACATAAATTAAGAAGTATTTACATTATTTTTCAGCTTTTTACAGTCAAATTACATCGGTACGATTATTTACAGTGATTATTAAAAACGCTTTAAAATTACCTCGCAAACACAAAAACATTGTCGCGCGCGCCTCGAATACTGAAATTACAACAACGAAAAAAGTCGAAATTGACATCGTACGGGGGGAGGGGGGCGAAAAATTTCCGGACGCTTCTTCGGGTAAAATGGCACAGCCGAATATTAAAAAAAAAATAACCCGCAATCACTTAAAATACTGGCCATCGCGATTCGAGATTCGACACTCAAATTTTGTGTTGCGTTATACGTGCCACGTTAATGTTATAGGGTATATTGGTAAAACTTTTGTCTAGCCACATAATCATTTTCTCGGTTTTGCCCTTCGACATTGATTGAGGTTATGTTTTATTTTTAAAAGCATTTTACAGTTTTTACTTGACATGTTTTTGGGCGGCCGTCTAACAAGCCGCGAGCTCATTAAGAAAAATAATTCGCAATTTTGTTTTTAAAATGGATGATATGAGATAAATGGTCTAATCGGTTTAATTTAAATAAGTATACAAAAAAATACATAATCAGAAGCCAAAGATTGTTTTCTATGATCAATCAAAATATAAACTGCAAAATGGTATCAAAGTTAAAGGAATATTAATTAGTAACCTCAGATAGTCAGATGGTTGCTAGTTAATAGAATAGTCAGTGATCGGTATGGACTGGAAAAGAAACATTAAGAAACCAATGTATATGGTACTTGTACATATCTTTCTAACCATAATCTCTTCACAGAACTCTGGCTCTGATATGCTGAAATGTTGTGTTTCCATTCTTGTTGCTATACGGAATGGAAGCAATGGAATTAATTAGTAAACTCAGATAGTCAGATAGTTGTTTGTTAATAGAATAGTCAGTGATCGGTATGGAGTGGAAATGAACATCAAGAAAACAATATATATGGTACTTGTTACTTTCATCTCAAGCTCGACAAATACTCTTCAAATTGAGAACATTTCTTTCTAACCGTAATCTCTTCATAGAACTCTGGCCCGGCATTCTGAAATATTGTGTTTCCATTGTTGTTATACGGAATGGAAGCATAGACTGTCTCAGAAAAGCTGTTGAAATGAATGGCAGCCTTGTAAACGTTTATGTACAGACCAATCCTGGGAATCTGGTGGAGAGAATCAGAAAAGAGGAAGAATCCCGCCCTAGGGACATAATGGATGGCGACAAATACAAATTACTGCACCTCATCATGCAGGCTAAAATGCAAGGGGAAGAGCATCTGCCACAAAAAGAGATCGCTGGTTGAAAGATCGTGGCACAATCCTGTTGGACTTACAATATTAGAATTATTTTATTATTAATATTATAGTTTTTGACAAATAATACAGGAAAAGTAAAAAACTTATTGTGTAGATCGATTTCTAAATCAAAGGGGTTAAGTTGCCACAATCTGAAAAAAAACAAGTATATAATGGAAAAAAAAAGGTACAATGCAATGCAATGCTAAAGGTAAATGACGATAAAGTAATTTCATTTGACAATTCAATCTCGTGAACCTGGGAAAGCCAGGGAGAAAGGAAACTATTATTAGTGCTTTAGAAGTTGAAGAAATAAAGGCGGATATGAAAAGAAATTTTAAGCAAATATACGTTTCCGCTAATTCTTTATTACGTCATGATTATTTATATTATTTTTTTAGAAGACCATTTAAATCTTATTAAATATCAGTTTAGTAATATAAATTAGGTAAACAATACAGTATTTTTTTAATACACATCAGTGTTTGTAAGAAAATATAATAAAAAATAATAAAATAAAAACAATTCTCTAAATTAATTAAAATTTCCAGGTCTCGGCTATACATTTTTTTTAAATACGGTCGTCGGTCGCTATGATAATCAAATCATGAAACATAACTTGTGATTTAACAACTTATTTTTTGTTTTTTAATCACTAGAGACTACTCAAGGGACTTCGTGATCATTTATCGACATTACTAAATAAATAAAATGAAATTGATTGAAACTAAGTAAAACGAGTTGAAGTATCTTATTGGAAATGAAAGCATAACTTACGTTAAACATTTGTGGGATATATTTAGATTTTCATTAAGATCCTCTTATTAATTATTAATTTTTAAAAAGCAATAATTGAATAGTACACCACAGACTCTGTTAATTCGTAATTCAACATCACACAGCGGTGCCTTTTTAATCAGCTTCATAATGTACATACGTACAAATATAATAAGCATTTGTTGTTGATATTTATTTGGTTTACATTGGAAAAAAACTGACTACTTACACTAGCAAACAAAAGAAACGCAACCTTTGATGATATATTGATATACTTAAAATAAAACTACCTAGCGCTGAAATCAAATATTTTGTAGTTTAAACAGGTAATTAAGCGAAAATACAGCGGCGAATGGTAGTAAACGCCTCTGTAGAAGGAAAGTTCCAAGCACTTTAACTTGCCAAAAGAGGGTTTCTGCAGTTTGGATTGAATCAATTGAATCAAAAGAAATTCCTAAAAAGATCCCTGGTTATCAGAACCAAGGATAATTGCTAAAAGGGGTTGTTTTTGGTGGAATGAAATGGGGGTCCTTTACATTTTATGGAAGCGACTACGGGAAAACTGTTGTATAGGAACTTACTTTGTAGCCATACACTGAGTGGGAAAGAAAATGATCCGAAAATTCGTCTGGTCTTGTTGAGGTGTGGTTTCAGGGGAAAAATGTACATATTCATCATTGGCCAACACCTTTGACGGAAGTTCAAATTCGGATTCCAAAATTCCCAAATAAACAGCCTTAAATTGACAAAATCGACGAAAATGAAGATTTGACGAATATTCCCTTTAGAGAAAGCAAAAGCCACATTCCTCAAAATGGGAGATTTGTTTAAGAGTAGTCTGGTCTATACTCTTGTATGGTGCCGAGTCCTGAACATTGACGGAAGCATATACAAAGAAACTCGAAGATGTGGTTAGTTCGACGGATTTTTAGAATTTCTTGGGTTAATCGTGTTTCCAAGACCGTTTTAGAAATGCTTCAAAATGAAACCGAAATAATATACATTATTAAAAAACGCAAATTATAATTATAGATATGGTCTGGTTCAGTTGATACTGCAGGGAAAGATCTTGGACAGAAGACGACCTGGAAGAAGCAGAATCTTCTAAATGAAAAATCTTGAAATTTAGGCGCATTCAGAAGAAGAAGCAGAAGAACAAAGTTTGAACCGTCCAAATCTTAATTTCATCAACAATAGATACCGTAATAATTATAAACCTTCTTTCTCGTTTTATTATTTATGTAAATAAAATAAAATAATCTTTCAAAATTGACTTTACTTTTGTCTGGTCATTAAAGTGTATAATAGTAATAGGTCATTACGAAAATTGAAGTTACTCTTTAAACTGCTTTTGTCCGATAGTTCCGCTGTTCTATTTAGCGATATTATTTCTTCTTGATTTTTATAGGGGGAGCGTTGCATTTTTAATGTTTGCTTTTATAGCTCTTTCGCTTCTATTATTTCTCAATGTTTGCGCCGTAGACAAAAGTACCAATATAGCATATAGCTACGGCGAAACTAGATAAAAAACGAAAAAAAAAAACGACCCGAAAATTCGACCGTTCCGCCCCTTTCGCGCGATAAAGAAAGACATACACAGCTTAAAAACTACAGCGATAGAAATCACATTGAATCGAATCGCGAAATCAACATTTAATGTGCAACTCAATATTCTTGAGAAACCTTTATTTATTTATTTTTTTTGGAAAATTTCGACCGCCCCCGCGCGGCTATAACACTCTAAAGAATCGAATTACGTCATCTACGTCCGATTTAATTGTTTGACCTAAAGACCTACCCTATAGCGGAGCGTTCTCTCTCTCTCTACTTGCATCGTGTAGAACATCCATTTTGTACATTAAAACTTGACTTGACAGCGTTGCGCTTGGCGGGTGCCCAGAATCCGGGGTGTAACGGGTCGGAAAAAATATCACACGGTTCTTAGGCGAAACAATTTAAACGAAAAAAAAAATCCACTTAGCGTAAGCCGTAACGATTTTTACACCTCGAAATAAATTACTTAAAAGTTACACAATAAATAATCAAGAAATATACACGACGCGTAACGCTAATAAAGGACAACGTCGAAAAATAAATACGCGCTAAAAGGCCATTTTCGTATCACATAGAGGAAATCGTTTACGAGGCCGTCCTAAACGTCTACCAAACAAAATATATCACAATAAACGTGCCTATTAAAAAAAAACAAACAAAATATTCCCTAATTCACCGTTAGCTGCCTCCGTGATTCGGGCCTTCCGTGTCGTTTCTCTTTGTTTTTTAAATACCGCTAAAAACCGAAACAGACATAACAATTGAATTCAACTCAGTTGAAAGTTTTTGTCCATAATTTACCACAAAAGAAACAAAAAAATAAAAACTCAAACGTCGAAAGAAAATGGTCCAATCTGGCAAATTTTCATATAAAAAAATCCTCCTTATCATTATTTGGAAATTTTAAGAGATAATGCATTTTAGTTAGTTTAGTTAGTCCGCCGCCTTTGTTGCTAATTAGTATCAAATCAACTAAAATATCATTATAAAAAATAAGATCCTAAAATAATTTGCGAATGAAAGCTTCAAAAAAAAAATTTAAAAATCACTCCCACTACCATTCGAGGGTTGACCCTCATTAATTTTATATTTTACCGAGTGAAAATAATTGGTTCAACGCGATAAAGCAAAAGACTGAGAAGAGAAAATTAAATGGATGAAAAGTATATCAACATACAAAGGCGGCGAATGCCAAAAAAGACGGATCGTTCAAAAATTATACCGTTTGTAACTCTCTAAAAGGCTTTTTAGGTTAGGTACGTAAAAATTTCGGTCAGTTTTGATTAGTTTTTTTGCTGAAATATCAATTCGGGTACCTGAAACTGAAACCTTAACTATCAACTGTCGGATTCAAGTTTAAGTGGTTAGTTTTACTTAGTTTTTTGTTGAACTATTGATTCAGGTAGAAAATGAAATTAATTGATTCTTTTATTCTCTACATATAAGTGTCGACTGTAGATGTTAAATTTTAGCGGTTATTTTTGGTTAATTTTTTGTTGAATTATTGATTTAGCAATTCTTTCATTCGCTACCTAAATTAATATTGCTACAAAAAACTAACTAAAACAACAACATTAACTGCCAACCTTAGGATGTAAGGTTAGGTGGTTAGTTTTGATCGTTTTTTTTTGTTCAAATACTCTGTACAAGCGATTCTTTCATTCGCTACTTGAATCAATATTTCAACAAAAACAAAAAAGAAACAAAACAACAATCTTAACTGTCAGTTTTTTGTTGAAATATTGATTTAGGTAGGGAATAATACAAGTAATTCTTTCATTCGCTATTTGAAGCAATATTTCAATAAAAAAATTAACCAAAATAACAAACCGTCAACCGTCAAAGGGGTCAACCGTAATGTAAGTTTAGGTGATTAGTTTTGGTTAGTTTTTTTTGTTGGAATATTGATTTAGGTAGGGCATGAATAAAAGCAATTCTTTTATTCGCTATCTAAATGAATATTAAAAAAACAATAAGTAAAATAGGAAATATTAAGCGTTAACTGTAGAATTTAACTTTAAGTGGTTAATTTTGGTTCGTTTTTTGTTGAATTGTTGATTTGGGTAGGGAATTAAGGTAAGGAATGAATACCAGTAATTCTTTCATTCGCTACCTGAATAAATATTTGAACAAAAAAACTAACCACAACAGAAACGTTAATCGTCAACTGTAGAATTTAAGTTTAAGTGGTTAACTTTTTGGTGAAACATCGATTCAGTTAGGGAATGAAATTAATTGATTCTTTGACGCGGTATCTGGAACAATGTTTCAGAAAAAAAGGTAACCAAAACCGATCGTAGAATAAAACCAACCGAAACAGAAATCTTATAAAAATCCTCCCATCCGACAGGGGTCGCGAAGAAGCAACCCTCTGTGGAGGAAGTCGATTCGAATTGTCCTCTCAATTAGAAAAAAATGGCGGAAACGACACTCGAAAGGCCCGCGCGAACCTCAAACTCGGGAATACCCGTTACACCACCCGGCACATCTTTACCCTACTCCCTTGGAACCCGGCACCAGACTCCCTCCCTAAACATACCGTCATGACAGTATACTGTCCAAGTCGAGGGCGGCGTTCTGCTGCATGTTCGTGTTCTGCTGCAGGTTGAGGATGCTGTTGATGGCACTCTGAACCTGCTCGTCAATGCTATTCGTCTCCGTCTCCTCTTCCCTCGACGACCCGTACGAACTATTCGCGCTGTTCGTCTGGGAACTGTCGTAACCGCACCTGGCGGCGATACTGCCGCCCCCGCCGCCCGAACCCGCTCCGCTTCCACCGTATTGTACACTATTTACACCGCAGTCCGATTTCTTCACGTGTTTGTCGACCCGAAACCGTTTCAGGGTCTCCAACCGCGAGTCACTGCTGGACGTCCGTTTCAGGTTCGACTGCGGAACGTGGTGCTGAGCTGTCGACGGCGCCGACGGCTGTTTCGGGTCGTCCCGGTCGGGCAAACACCCGAGCTCGCGTTGGATACACGCCCACTCGTCGTATTCTTCCGTCGACTGGTTGGGGTCGCCCGAATGTTGCGCCTGTAGGGATTGGTGATCGGCGACCTGCAGGCTGACGAGGTCGTTCTCGTAGTCCTGCCGAAGCTTGATCAGGGACTGCTGCTCGTCGGCGAGGAACATCCGATCAAGCATCATCAGCTCGGAGGTCTGGACTTGTCTCTGCAACATCGAATCAACTATTTTTGAAAATTTCAACCTATGGAAATTTTCTAATCGGAATCGGAATTTCTCACCCTTCACAATATCTAACGACGATCAAATGACCAAAAAAACTAACCTTTTCTTTTTAAGAGAAGTACAACGGAGAACAGTAATCTAATACCTCAAATATTAGTGGCCACACCTGCAAGTTGTTAAGCAAGAAATTTTGTGAGTCTAAATAGCTGACTAAATTTTGTGTTGAAAACTTCAAAGGGATCAGATTGCATATAAGCACACCTTTTCAATCTAAATCGCCTTCACTCTTTTCAAAATCAGAATTGATTATATAATAATAATAAATAATAATAAATAGTCTTTATTAGGCCATTAAGGCCACTCACACTTAACCCATTTCTAACTACAACTACATATAAATTACAAGTATGTATAAAATGACAAAATAGAATGAATGATTGATGCACATGTATTCTAACGGATTATTTTACATTAAGTTTAGTAACTGTTTTTTTAAATGTAAGATAAAATTTTTACATGAACCAAGTAACTTTGGTTTGAGGCCGCTATTTAAGGAGTTGAACAAGCTTACAGAACATTGAAATTTTTTGTTTTGTGCAATGGCATAGTGAGTGATGATTGGTGTCTTAGATTCAAGACATGAATGGATTTCTTTAATACTAATTTGTCATTCAAATATTTTGGAATGTTGGAATTTATTACATGTTTCAAACAGCATAAAAAGTTGTATTTGAAAACATCTTTGATTTTTAAACAAATTCAATCTTTTGATATGTGGTCAAACTTGCGTAGGTTAAAAATAAAGCGACAACAAGTATTTTGGATTTTTTTGTAGACGATAAGATGTAACAGCGTCCAAACAGAGGTAATACACAATGTTACAATAAGACAAGCGAGAGAGCATAAGATTTTGGCACAACTGTAGTTTCATATTGTAGGACAATATATCTCTATTTGAATATAACAATTTTAAACTCATCTAACATTGTTTGGAGATGTGCTTAACATGATTCGAGAATTTCATATTCTCGTCAATATATAGACCCAAATTTTTAACAAATTCTACAACTTGAATAAGGTTGTTGTCAACGTATAATTTCATTTTGGACTTCAAACTGTTTCTCTTCCTCTTAGGGGCAAAAATAATGGCACTACACTTTGATGGTTTTTAAACATAAATTATGAGGCTCCGCATACTTATTTATGCAAATACTTATTTATGCTGTTCACTGCCTCCTCGTAACGGTCGCGTTCGAAACTATGGAACAATTGCGTATCATCGGCAAAAAATTGTACTTAGCTCTGTGCAACTACACCACCCAAATCTGCTGTATAAAACAAAAACAATAATGGACCTAATACTGAACCCTGTGGTACCCCTGATGGAATATCTAGAGTAGTTAATAGCCGGTCCTGCAACAGAACTTTTTGACGCCTGTTATATAGATACGACTCAAAAAAGCTTAACGTTTTGTCATCAAATCCCATATACCAACACCTGGCAATCAACAGTCTATGATTTATAGTGTCAACGGCTTTTGTAAAATCCAGTAGGACCAGAGCCGTCGCCATAGAATTGTCACCCGCTCTCAGGATTTCATCACACAAGTTTAATAGCGAAGTAACCGCTATGCCCTTTCCTAAAACCAGATTGGTGGGCTGGGAGTATGTCCTTTACAGCAACATATTCATTTTTCTGTCTGTGCACCACTTTTTCTAGAATTTTAGAAAAAACTGGCAACAAACTTATCAGCCTTAAATCTCCAACTAAAGACGGGTCAGTATTCTTAGGAATAGGAACGACCAATGCCTCCTTCCACATAACTGGGAAGTATCCAATTTCAAGGCAACAATTCACTAGATGGCAAATGTATTTATCTATTTCTAGCATGCACAACCTTGCCATCTCCAAAGTGATTCCGTCGACGCCCATAGTACCTGACTTGATCTCTGTTACAATTTCAGTAATATGAAAAATTTCAGTTAATTGAAAAGTAAAATTGTATTCGTTACTAATTTTGTGTGAATTATAAAAATCTATGGTGGATGAACATTTGTAGTCACTGTTCTCAACTAAAGAGACAAAATAACGATTAATCTCTTCTGGATCATGTAAATTAGATGGTACGTCCACAGTTACTTTGTTTTTCTGAATATTTAATTCTTTTATAGCTTTGTAAAATCGAGAAGAGCTTTTTTGTCGCAAAAACTCTAAGATCTAATATTGATGATGAAATAAGTTTAAGTGTCAAATATTAGTGGGTCTATAGTCTATAGCTGAATACATTTCCTGTTGAAAACCTGAAAGGGATCAGTTTGCATATAACCACACCTTTTCCAGTCTACATTTCCTTCAGAGTTTTTTCAAAAGCGGAATTGATTATATCACGCCTATAAGAAAGTTGGTTGGTTTTGGTTAGTTTCTTTCCTTTTTAAGCTAATTACTATGAAGAATGCAATCTAAGTGCTGCAATTATATTTCATTATTATGGCTAATATTTACCATCAACTTTAATGAAATAAATTCAAGGCCTCAAATATTAGTGCCACTCTTAAAGGTTGTTGAACAAGAGATTTTGTGGGTCTAAACAGCTGAAAATAAGCAAATCTTTTCCAATCTAAGCCTCCTTGGTTGGTTAAAGTTCTCAATTATTGTCACCAGTTTTGGTTAGGTTACAAATCTGCAGGTTAAAATAATACCTATTTCTCCATTTCGATCATTTGTGAAAAATAGAAAGGATAGAATTCTCGCTTTCCAGTTTTCTTTTTTTATATAGAAATATTTCAAATTGCAAATTGTCATACTAGTACAAAGTTGGATAAGCTGCTTCATAATTATCGCGACGTTAATTTAGGACTTGCAATACCGCGAATAACCACAAAGGACAAAAAAAACTATTTTTTTATGAAATCTATAAATATAAATATTATATGTTATACAGCTATGAAAAATTAATAATAAAAAGTGTTCATAATCTACGTTAACAATGTTTTTAAACTGAATCAAACTTAAGTTAAAGGGATGTATATCATTTTATTCCAGTGGAGATCGAACACGAGAACAGTACACACACTACTTTTGTGATATCAATTGAGAATTAATTCATCACAATTCCTCAAGTTTATTACACCTTACACCTTACAAATTACACCTTAATCTCTAACCTGATTTTTCTGACATAATTTTTCATTATTCATTGTGTGCAGCGTAGGTTCACTCTACTAAAAAAACATTGTTTTGTTTAAAAATATATTTTTTTTCAATTAACACATGAAAAAGTAGTGGAAGATTTTGTCCACTACGCAAACCTAACATTCTAGGAAAGCTAGGCCCATGTTTTATAACTACATTTAATTTAGCACATCATCAACTAATCAACTAAGGGAAAATCATCTTCAATATGCAAATAATAAGTGAAGAGGAAATATGGGGAATCAAGTAGTTTTGTAAGAGGAGTTATACAAAGACTTTAATATAATATAACAATCCAAAAAGAGCTAGAAATTACCGTATGCAGTCGTCAAATAATATGCAGGGAGTCTCAACACAATTTTGTCTAAAATTCTAGGAAAAGTGGTGTACAGTCCGATAAATTTATATGTTGCTGTAAAGGACATACTTCCAGCGCACCAACCTGGTTTTAGGAAAGGGCATAGCGGTTACTTCGCCATTAAACTTGTGTGATGAAATGATTTTACAAAAACCTTTGATACTATCAATCATAGATTGTTGATTGTCAAGTGTCGGTATATGGGATTTGATTACAAAACGTTAAGCCTTTTTGAGTCATATCTAAATAACAGGCGTCAAAAAGTTCTGTTGCAGGACCGGCTATCAACTACTCTAGATATTCCATCAGGGGTACCACAGGGTTCAGTATTAGGTCCATTATTGTTTTTGTTTTATACAGCCGATTTGGGCGGTGTAGTTGTAGTAACGCTGTAAGCTTGTTCAACTCCTTAAATAGCGGCCTCAAATCAAAGTTATTTGGTTTATGTAAAAATTTTAGCTTACATTTAAAAAAACAGTTACTAAATGTAAAATAATCCGTTAGAATACATGTACATTAATCATTCATTCTATTTTGTAATTTCATACATACTTGTAATTTATATGTAGTTGTAGTTAAAAATGGGTTAAGTGTGAGTGGCCTTAATGCTCATAAAGACTATTTATTATTATTATTATTGTCTAATGAGATTAAAATGTTTACAGTCCTTAAAAAATCGAATAAAAGCTTTTACAATATTTAATTTAAAGTTATTAAGTTGGCTCCAGTCCCAAAGCTGGTTAATATCTTCTTGTAGAATTTGTGTATCAATTGATTGAAGAGTTAGGCAAATATCATTTATGAAAAGGTTAAAAAAAAGTGGTGAACAATGATCTCCTCGAGGTACCCTCAAGGAGGTCAGACCTCGATCGTTTTTACATAAAGTTTAAAAGCTTTACTCTTTGTGTCCTGCCTTTCAAAAAACTTTTTTTAATGAAACCCAAATTACGTCATTTTGAAGCAATAAGTCAAAGTTAACTCTGTTGAAGATCTTCGAAAAGTCGATGTAGGTTATAATATTGCCTATTTTCTCCATTTCTATCATTCATAACCGACAAAATAGAATACATCTCCCGCTTCCCTTTTTTTTATATAGAAATATTTTCATTTCTATTCCCTCAAATTCAAAAAAACCCCAGGGCCGGAAAAGTCCAAAAACGAACATTGGTACATTTGAACTACCTCATTTATTGGCATTTAGAACAAAAAATATTCGAGTCAAGACTTGCTTGCTTTTGGATTGAGATATGGGCCTTTACTTTTAATTTAATTTTTTTCATTCGTTTTTTAAAATATGATGGATAGTATTTTTTGAATTTTATTACTTTTGCCGACGGGATAAAACACTTAATCGATTTTTATTTCTTTGTCTTTTTTTGTTTCTGTTAAAACAGCTAGGTTCATTTCTTTACATTCTTTTTTCTTCTCACTTTCACTTCCCACAAAATTAAAATAATTTTTTTTATTTTTCAAAATTTCGTTTTTTTTTTGGGCACCAAGATAAAATACTCTGTACATAATTTCAGATTAGCCTCCGGTTTTTAGTACTCACGCACCGGCTTTGAGTGGCGACACACGTTTACGAGTGCGAAATATATTGAACTATTGAACTACCCACATGAAGTAAGTAACTTATATTGTACTAGCGAACCCGAGAAAAAGTGCCAAAAGTGCTTGGGCAGTGAAGTTAACAACAATTATCACCAATACAATTTGTTTCATAATGAAGAATGTAAAATCACAAACCACGACCCATCGTCTGTATAATAAAAAATAGATAACACCAGAACAGTTAGGACATTTAATCTACCCTACTTCGACGCCCCACACTCACCATACTCTCCTTCAGCAACAGGTACTTGTACTTGTCCACCATCTTGCCGAATTTGCCGATGAGGTGCTTGGCGGTTACCTCGAATATCTCGTCCGCTTTGGCCAGATCCTTCTGGGACAAAACCGCCTGGTCCATGCAGTGGTACCTAATGAGGCGTATGCACGCGTCCTTCTTGTCTCGGAACGGGGTGTGGACGTCCGGCTTCGCAGCCCCATTCTGGTCCAAGTTCAGCTGTGTCTCGATCCTGAAACGAAAAACCTCCGTCGATCGCTTGGGGACAACCCCGAGCGGAGAATACCTACAGGTGGGCCTTCTTGGTGAGCGAAAGAAACTGCTGCTGGTGTTGCTGCTGTTGTTGCTGCCGGTGAAGGTGATGCTGGTGTAATTGCTGGTGCTGCTGCTGCTGCTGTTGGTGGTGGTGCTGCTGACTCGGCTGGGGCGGAGGTTGCGGCGACTGCAACTGCGCCTGAGGCGTTTGCGGTGACTGCGCCTGAGGTTTCGCGTAGATATTCGGCAACTGCGGTCAGAGGGCGCTGTAAATAGTTGCCGCGCGGTGGCGCTGCAGACGTTTTACCTGCGACGCTACGCTCAACCGTTGGGCCAGGTGGTTGGGGTGGGTGTGGGGCGGAGCTTGATGATTGTTTGCGTGGTGATGATGAACCTGGTGGTGTACCGGGTGATGGTGTACGGTAGTTTGAACGGGCAGGTCGCCTGTACACGTGGCCACGGACACGGACACCCGGGGCGTCGTGTGCGATTGAGTAGAAATTGGCTGCAAGGAAAATCGTTTTGGAAAAACGACGGAAATTTCCGAAAACAAAACAAAAAACACCCAAACATACGTAATAAGAGTAATGGCCGTCCGAAACGCGACCGTAGTGGAAATAACCGTAATCCGTGGTATAGTGATACATCATAATTACCGTTTGGTACTCAAGGCGATCCCAAAGCGTACGACATTTTTTATTGCGATTTTTGAGACCCACGCTCGACAACAATTATTGATAACATCTTATCGCGTTCGGACGAAACAAAGTTATCACGCGGGTCGAGAGTGTTCGGCAATTAATAATTAAAGATAACCGGCGAGGCAACTCCGAAATTGAAACGGAATGAATTGGAAGTGGATAAAATCGAAATGCAAATAAAGAAAAGTATTGTATCCGCAATCTCTAAAAGGAAATATTTTCCTTGACAAATTGTGGTGATTTAATTTTACGATCGCTAAATATTTGTTTGTCAGTTTCAATTTGTCGCAATTGTTCCGTATAGCAGAAGGAAAACCGTATAAAACGCGCCAGCGAAAATAAGTGACAAAACGCGATAATTAATCGCGATGGGCAGTACGAATGACTCGCCGATGTGCTGCGGGATAAATCTTTTAATCTAGCACCGGTTTTATTTAGAATTAAAGAAATATTTTCAAATTTTCTGCCAACATGAAGGTATTGGTATATTTTCGTGTAGATACTTGGAAAAATAATAAAACTGTTTATAAAAAAAATTAAATGACAGTTTACTTATAACATATCGGTTAATAAAAGCAGTTTAATATTAATATTTTAAAGTCTTCACTAATATTGTCATTATCCAGTGTGGCCGAAACTGGGTTCTCACGGGCACTAGTTTTGAGTGGTCAAATAAAAACGTTATATTTAATCAAAGTTAGCACCCTCTACATATTATGTGAAAAATAGAATGTCATTGTATTCCTCATCTCTAAAAAGCTCCCAATCCAAGTTTAATATATGTTTTTTTATATCACACACCTTAAGAATGGCGGTTCATTACTATTTACACTAACTGGCTAGCATTTACTTAAAAATCCTCCGATTTATTAATGCATGATGCAGTCATAAATATATCACCTTTAGGTAAATTGTCTGATTGTCCTCTTATAAAACCTGCATCAACCATTTTCAGTCTTTAATAGAACCACCAAACTCCAAATCAAGCAAAATTAAACAAAACTGTCTCCGAAAATAATTAAATATCAATGCCTGCATACGTGCGCCTAGATCGACATACAACGGTCTGGGGTCACAAACAATGGCAGCGCGTTTATTTTACACATTTATTTTTCAGGTAATTTAATTGTGATTGATTTTTTTCTTTTTATGGGAACTTGTAAAATTGTTTTTAAATGATTTTCTGATTTTCTTATAGCGAGGTGGTACCACTAGTTCAATAACTATCGATTTTTTCTCGTGTTTTCCAAATTTTTGCAATAGTAGAATAAGAAACCTGATAAAAACGGGGGTGAAAAGCGACTTGCACACTTATGGGTCAAGTGTTTTCCCCTAGAGAAGCTGCTACGGCAAGCGATCGATCACTTTCATCTTCCTTTCTAAAGTGAACACTTTACGTTTCTTTTTTTTGAGGTTTATCCGCTGCGCGTTTTAATTTACAGCACGTTGATAATTTTAAGGTTCGGAGAACCCACGTCAACTATGCGGATAGGTAAGTTGCCTGTTTAAAGGTCAAATTTTCTCGTTACACCCGATAGAAAGCAGATGAAAACGGTCGCTATATCCAATATGTCCCTATTTCCCATGTCTTAAAAAGCAATTTTCTAATTGAATGTCAACAGTTAGGGGAGCGATGTTTGGATCCATTTTAAAAAGAACATTTCATATGAACATATGTCCTAAACCTTTTAACTTTTGAGATACAGGGTGGCATACTTTTAAAATAAAATAAAATAAAATATATTTTTTTAATATCTGTAATAAAACTTTAAATAATTTAATGAAATTTGTGTTCCACAATTTCTTAAAAATACACCAGTGGCGTACGTTGCGTTGCCACTGATTTCTCTTAAAATAAAAATTATTCTACAGAGATTCAAGTTCTTCATTTTTTTCAATCTGATTTACTGTTTTCGCTAAAAAAATCCTCTTCTCTAAGTAGTCATGACAATATCGTTAATGCTTAATATGACAACATGCAGAGAAATAAGTTTTTATTTTTAAGTGAAAACCGTGCGAGAGACTAAAAAAATTAACAGATCAACGTCTTTTTTTTTAAGTAAATCAGTGGCGTGGCACTGACTATAAACAAATAATATTTTGGTTAATTAGGTCGCCACTGCACTAAATCGAGAACTTTTTTTTGTGAAAAATAAAATATCTATCTAAAACAAAATATCTAGTTTTTACTTACCAAGTAGTTTTCTTACTAAGAAAAAAACTAAAAGACTTTTTTTACTTTTGCATTTTAATGAAATAACATCCTAACAATATAAATAATAAACGATTCTTAAAAAAAAAAATATTACCTACTATTGTAAACGCCAAATTGTCAAAAACAGGGTAACATCCTGTATAATATGTCCACCACCGAGCAGCGGAGGGACGGGGCGAAGAGGTCAATATGCCGATACCCTTGCTATAAACCACGTAATAAAAGTTCTTGCTGTTTATGTCTAAATCTTATTTTCATCATTAACTTTTTTAGTAAAATTATCCGTTAATAAATTAATAACAACCTTTTTGAAAAAAAGTAGAATATAGTAACTAGTAACTTAACTTATTAAATCACAGGAAGCTCTTATATGATCCTTCAGCTCTCCTACAGTGATAAATGGGGTGAGATAAAGCAGGCTTTTAAGATGCTCCCATAAGAAAAAGTCCACAGTATTTAAATCTGGGGACCTAGCGGGCCATGGTTGAGATCAGCCGAGACCTATCTATAGGTTTGTAAATGTAAAGTGAGCAGGCCCGCCGTCATGCATGAACCACATTGTGTTCCTAATTAAATATGGTACTTCTTCTAGCAATATTGCACCCCTATTAAATGATTATTTGCCCTCAAAGTACCTGTTTCAGGCAACCTTCTACATACATTTTAAAATGTTCGCCTATCTGGTATGACTCCATTAGGAAAGCGCTTCTTAACAATGTTCGGATATTTTAAACTGTCAAACAACCGCCTTGACAACAGAATTAATAATTCTTTCAGACAAAGCAATTTTTAGAAGTATTTTAATAAAACAGTTAATGATATTGTTATGACCATGCAGCATAAAAACCTTTTTTATTTTTTAAACAGAAAACGGTGCATCGGATTGAAAAAATCAAGAAATTAAATTTCTTTAGAAATGGTTGAAGATTGTAAGAATCATTTATATTTTAAGAGAAATCAGTGTGTGCCAAAATAGACAGGTAAAATTCCGTACGCCCACCACTGGTGTATTTAAAAAAAAAAAGTGGTACACTAAATAATGCATCTTGATACAAAGTACATGTGTGCTATATTTCATTTAAATATCTAAAGTGGTACTATAGATATTAATTTTTTTTTTTCGATTAGAAAACGACCTACTTGTTGTGTGCTGGTGGGAACCGTTTCCACGCTGGTACTCCTCACGATGCTCTGGCTGCTGCTCAAAACCGGACTGGGCGGTTCGCTCTTGACGTGCCCGGGTGACGGCAGGTTCAAACTGGACGGATTCACTATCGTCAACTGATTGTTGTGGTAGTACACCTGAGAAAAAAATATACCCTCGAGCGACGCTTTTTCCGGGACCGGAAAATACACACCTTGTCTGGAGGCAGCAGTTTCCCGGAGGCCAGTATCTTTTGCTGCTCAGCGAAGAGCACCTTCAGAGTATTCTGCATTTCCGTGTCGCCCGGCTGGAGTCGCGCCGACAAACTCTGGATTTGCATCTGGATGGTTTTCAGGTGCTGCTGCTTCTGCGGCGTCAGCTGGATAGTAGTTATCCGCTGCAAAACCAAAAAAAAAACGAATATCTCAACCAATCGAATTTTCAAGTTTTATTTATTTATTGGTGGGTTATTTTCTCTTTATTTATTTTGTTTTTCCTTTGGTAGGTTATACATGTTGTTCCCTCATTTTTTTTATTCAACTTTTTAGAAAAAAAAAGTCAATGTGCAACATTGCATACTTATTTATATATAGAAAAATGAACAAATATGGCGGACGAGGACTTCCATTGGATCTTATTAAATCATACCTGTCATCTAGGAGACAATGTATAGTCTACAATAATTCATTGTGGCATTTTATTATTTTCATTTCATTTAATCTCCAAGATAATGGAGGATAAGGAAATGTCAGAATTTAGAAGCGTGGATAGTGTGGTGCCACAGGGCTCCGTCCTGGGTCCCCATTAAATATTAACCACTTCCATGGACCCTTATTAAAAATTCCCAATTTTAGTTTTCAATTGAAAAAAAAAAACACATTTTTCCAAAGACCCGTGTTTACGCAAAAAAAAGAAAAATTGAAAAGTTCATTTTTCTCAAAAAATGATCAAAATCAAGCGAATAATTAGAAATTTTTCATAGAAACTTCTATAGGCCACTGTAACACTTTTTATAAAACTTCTGGATTCCTCCTGCGTCAGGTTTTGTTGAGTCGAACTAGCTAACGTTTCGCCAATCATCCTGTTGACTTCTTCAGAGCTTGATTGAAACTGGCCCGCATTTTACTCCGTACCTGCTTTTATATTGTTTGAGGGGACGGAGCTAAATGAGGGCCGGTTTCGATAAAACTAACTAGTTTTCAGTTAAGTCCTGAAGAAGAAAACAGGATGATTGGAGAAACGTTAGCTAGTTCGACTCAACAAAAACCGACGCAGGAGCAATAAAGAAGCTTTATAAAAAGTAATTAGAATTTTTTTAAATATTAGACATAAAAATACTATCAAGTATATGAAATGGACCATCTGCTCCTTTTCGACTTTGTAATCGCTATTTCTTTTAAATTCAATAAACAAATAAGGTATATAAAATTGGTAACCCAACCGCCACAAAACCAAACCCAGTACCAAATCGAGGTTTACCTGCTGGGGTTGGGGCCTCTCTAACCCGCTCGCCGGGGTTACCGTGTTGCTCTCCTCCAATATCTGCCCGAGTAACTTGTCCACGTCGTGGTTCGTGTTGGATCCGTTGGAATCATGCCCGTGTACCGTAGGACTGACCTTTTGCTGCTTCGCGGGCGAAATCGGACTCTTCTGGCGCTCCTGCTTCACCTGGTGCTGCACCGACGGTTGCACCATCGCCTGGGGCTGCGCGGGCTTGCTCTGTATCGGCTGCACGTGGTTGTGCGGCAAAATATGCTTCGGGGGAGGCGGCGGACTGGCCATCGCCGACACGATCGACTGCTTGTTATTCTGCGCGCACTTGGTCTGGTCCGTGGTGACGACGCCGTCGCCGCCGTCCTGGAGCAATGTCTTCACGCCCTGGATCTTCTGCACTTTCTTGATCGGCTTCGCCTTGGGCGAAAGCTTCTTCTCGCCCTGGTCCTTGTTGGGCCTTTGCATGAATATTGTCTGCCCGTTGACAGTCAGCTGCCCATTACGTTTCAGCTGTTCCAATTGGTCGGGCGTCAGATTCACGACATAGGAGGTGGGCGGGGCGGCGTTGCTTTGCTGATTCGGCTGGCCGTCGCCGCCCACGTTCTGTTGCTGCGCGTGATGCTGGATCGGCTGCACGGTCTGCACGGGCGGCTGGCTCTTCTGGAATGGCTGCACCTTCAGCACCGGCTGCGTCGTCTGCGTGTGGGCCTGCTGGAACCCCTGCACGTTGTGCACCGGCGATTGCGCCATGTTCTGCTGAGCCATCACCGAATTCTGTGTCATGTTCTGAGCCACCTGCACAGGACTCTGAGCCATCGTCTGAGCCATCACGTTCTGAACGGAACTCTGGGCCATGTTTTGGGTGACGTTTTGCACGCTCTGGATCGCCTAACGAATTTACTCGCATCAGTACAAAAATGGCGAACTCATTGCTCGTGTATAAAGTGGCTCTCAAGTAAAGGTTCAATCCAAAATCAATATTACACATGTACAATTTGGAATCCCTATTATTTCTAAGATTTGATTTAATATTTAACCTTAAAATCATTCATAACTTATAGGATTTCTAATGTAAATAGATATCATAACAAAACAGATTTATTTTGTACCCATCTTGTTTTAAATTTAAGAGTTGTTTCAGTGTTGTTTTCCCGCCTCTGGTACTTTGTTTATAATTAGTGGTCGCTGTTTTTGATACTCTCACCTGTTTGCACCGTAATTCACTTAATTTTTTTCCAGTATTTCTCGCGCACCGTATAATAGACGAAAACAGTAGGGAGCAGCCTACGACCCTGTTTAAACCATGATTTTTCATTTATAGTTAATAATTTAGCCTCAAAAATTGCAGTTTTAAGTACAACAATTGTGAATATGCAGCGAATATCATGAATAGGGATTTGGAAAATATATCTAGCTTTACGGAAGGGCATAATTTACACTTAAAGAAAGAAAATTAATGAATGGACATTAGACGTATTCAAGTTGTACAATCTGTTAAAAATCTGAGCCTGTATATTGATAAGAATATAAAGTTTTTGAATCATGTCGCGCATGTCTCCAAGCAGGGTTACAGAAGTTTGAAATTGCTGTATTCGAATAAAGATTTATTGTCATATGACATGAAAATGCAGTTATATAAGAGTCTTGTTCTCTCTCGTTTGTCTTACTGCAATATCGTGTATTACCCCTATTTAGAGACTGTAACCTCTTATCGGCTACAGAAAATTCAGAATACTTACTGTCGCTTTATTTCTAACTTATGCAAATTTGACCACATATCCACATAAGAAAGAAAAAAAATTCCATTCCTAAATATTTGGATGAAAAATTAGTATTTAGGAAATCAAGTCATTACCTGAATCTGAGACACTGAGCCACGCTCACTATGCCTTTACACAGAAATACAAAATTTCGATGTTCTTTTACATATAATGCTGTAATTTTGTTCAACTCCTTAGATCACATTCCCAAATTAAATTTTCTTCATAATTAATATAAGCTTTGGATACAGCAATAGCAACTTAATCTGTAAGTCAGATTGGTGTTAACACACTTGGGCGATAAATTTATTATTAATATCAAAGACAGGAACAATGGTTTTCAATCTAAAAAAAGTTATGGCAGTAACACAAACCAAAAATAGAAGAAATTAGAAATCAAGGTAGATGGAAAAGTCCTCAGAAATTATGTTGGAAGAAACAGGAAGGCAGGATAAAGATAAGGTATGCTATACATTAGGCAAGGGACTGATAAATAAAAACGAATTTTCCCAGGAAATTAGAATGAAACTTTGTAAATCAATCTGCAGACCATTGCGCCCATATCGCTGCGAGTCGTTGGTATTGTCAGATATGGACAAGAGTAGAATGCACATAAAAGAGAAGATTCAAAGGTTGAATCCATAAAAGAAATGATAGACGAGAAACAAGTTGGATGGTGAGGCCTTTTACAGAGATTAGATAACACCATGCGAGTTAACAGAGTTTGGCAGAGTAAAATGCAGGGAAAAGGAAAACTGCAAGAAAGAGAGCAACTTGGGATGGCACTCTGGGAAAGATCTTGAAAAAAAGGGGTGGAACAAGGGTACAAAAAATTAGCACTTACAGTGTTATATAAATTTGAGATTGCTGTATTTAAATAAATTTTAAATTTATAAAATTTAAATATACATAAATACAGTTTTGTAAGGTCAAGATATTTGTCTTACTGCAATATTGTGTAGTACCTCTGTTTCAAACTTATGCAAATTTGACAATATATCCGGAGCATTTAAGAAAATAAATTGGTCAAAAATAAATACTCTTAATAAAATAATAAAAATTTCGATGTTCTTTTACATATAACGCTGTAATTTTGTTCAACTCTTTAGATCACATTCTCAAATCAAAGTTTCTTCATATTAATATAAACTTAGTCATAACTAGTAAGTTACATTAGATTCACAGAATAAATGCACCCACAAATTTCTCAAATCCATTGTGCATTTGGTATATTTCTGAATGAATTATCTAATTGCTGAAAGAAATGTTACTACGACTACATGCAAAACTTTTAGCCACCATTTAAAAAGGCATTTAAATTGTAAAAATGTGCATATCGTATTTAGATATGGATTAAGTGTGAGTAACTTTAAGGTCAGACTTCGCCAATATAATCTTAATAAAGACTATTAATACAATTATTATTAATATTATTATGAGGTGAAAAAGGAAAACGTTTGATTCAGTTACCTGCGAGTGAACATTCTGAGGCTGGTGCGCCGCCTGCTGCGCAGCCTGCTGTTGCTGCTGCTGCAACAGGCTCTGTATCTGCGACTGCAGGCTGTGCACCTGGCTCTGCGATATGCTGTGCATCGGCTGCACCTGCGAATGGATGCTGTGGATCGGTTGCGGCTGCACGATCTGCATCGGCTGCTGTAGAGCATTAACAGTTTGGTGTTGTATGGTTTGCTGTACGGTTTGCTGTTGAATTTGCGGCTGTAAAGACTGAAATAAGCGTAGGGTTCGATTATTTGAGACTTCACAACCGCGCGCGCGTATACTCACCTGAATGGTGTGCTGCACCTGAGGCTGCACTGTCTGCTGCTGAACGGTTTGGATCGTCTGTGATTGCACAGTCTGTTGCTGTATCGTCTGCACCGACTGCTGCTGGATCGTCTGCACGGTTTGCTGCACGGTCTGTTGGTCCATCGACGGCTGCAGCACGAGCCCGCCGTTCAGACCAAGCAAGCTCTGGAGTATCAACTGATTCTGCAAATCCTGCCGGAAAGAAAATTTCAGTGGTTTAATAATATTATTATTAAACGTCAAAATTCTCCAAACATACCAGAACAATATATAATTTCATACAAAATTTATTTATAGAAAAAATAGCGATGAGTACAAAACTTCATTTCTTTTATTTGGAAACACGTATTAGTAGATCTCAAAAATTTGAACAGTTGAGAAAATGTGAGTGTGTTTTTGATATCTTAGATCATTAAATTTTAATAAAAATCCTGGAAAGGTATGAAGTGAGGCGCTAAAGTCATATATGTTGGATAGGGGCCAGAAAGTCTTAATGACAAGGGATGGGAGACAATATTCTTCTGAAGAGAGACATTGAAATACTAAGCTAGTACTAATACGAGCCATCTTGAGTTGAGATCTCTCACACTTTCAGGGTTATATATATGTAAGTGCTTATAGTTTTTGTTCAAGAACACAGAAAGGTTTATTTTGAACGAGTCACAACAAAATGAGGTCTTAATTTCTCATTGCGCAGGGTCATATCAACTGAATGAGATTCCACTTATTCCCGCATAAAATGTTTTAATAAGTTACATTTTACTTTCCCGTTTCTTTTAAAAACTTTCATAGAAGACTTATCCGAGTTTAAAATTCATATATATGATTGCTTGACTAAAAGATGTCATTGTTTGTGCCAGCCATTAACCCCTTATATTGTTTTCTGTCTTTACATTGCGTAATCATTTTACTTGTCTATTTATTTCAAGAGTGTTTTCACTATTTTTAAGCATAAAAGAAAATAATAAGATTAGCAAATCAAGAATTTGAATCTGTATGTTCCTAAGAATGCTTATGAACCTTTATGTTAAATTGATTTTACCTTTATTAAATTACGGCTATGGGCAAGCTACCTCATAGCTTAGATAGCGGTATAACTTAATTGAATTGCATCATTATCTGAATAAGTAGGACACTGAGAAAAAAAAGTTAAATACAATAAGTACATGCACAGAAAACTATAATTGGAAATTTTTATTATGAATCCATGAAAGTAGTTAATATAATGGTATCTATGGCGAAAATATATTTTACAGAGTAGTCACAAATAACCATCAAAACAATGTTTTTTCCTATTAAAAAATATACATATATTTTTTTAAATTGAACATCCTGCATTTAGCACTTTTATTTAATTTGGGATTTAAATCTGTATCCTTTCATATTTATGACTTTTATTACCAAAAATGGTCGTTTACAAGCTATGGCTAATTTTCTGCAAAAACTCGTGTATTTTACTTTAAATGTAACTAAACCTATAGAGTATCCTTTCTAACCGATTTTCTAAAATAATTATTTCTTAAATTCAAAATAAAATCAACAAACAATGCAAGTAAATAAAACTTATTACTAATTATAAAATTTTTTCTATATAACCTCCATTTTTGACAATACAAGTAGTTTTCATTTGGTTTAATTTCTACCAATAGCTACAAATAGCACAGTTCTCCGGCTCTGTTTAATTATTTTTTATTTTTTTTTAAAGTCACTTTCAAAATAGTGTCAATTATAAGGATACAATAAAAACGTCTTGTTTGAAAGTCCTGTTGGGACAATTTCTGAACTGGCAAAAATTGGAATGGATGATACTAAAAGTCCTTTGAACACTAATCTTACTAATATCCGTTAGATCTCGGGGTGCGTCTCTTTGCGAATTTTCCTTGCTTTCTTCACAATACAGGAGAACTTCAGATATTCTAATTGCTTCTCCTCTATTAGGGCAATTTTTGGACGGTGTTTTCGATTACTGACTAACACTGCATGCTCAAATCACGAACAATTCGTGAAAAACTATGCTTCCTCGGTAGTCTTGCTAATGCTGGACTCTTTTTATTGAAATTGACACCATACAACATTTTAGGGGGGGGGGGGGGTTAGAAAACGTTTTGTAACTACTAACTTCTATTTACTTGGATTACTTGTTGATTTTATATCCAATTTAAGTAATTAAAGTTTAAAAGTTGAATAGGTTATTATATATGTATTTGCAGAAAATTGGCCACAACTTCTAAACTAACAATTTGTTATAAAAGCTATAAACATAAAATCACAAACCTAAAAAAAGTGCTGAATACAGAGTGTTGCATGTAAAAAAAAATTCTAATTAAAAAAACATATTTTCCATGGGCATCTGCGACCACCCTGTATGATATATTTTCGGCATAGGTAGGTCCAAGCATTAAATATTAACCACTTCCATGGATCCATAATAAAAATTCCTAATTTTCGTTTTCAAACGTAAAAAAACAATTTTTTCCAAAGACCTGTTTAAACGTATCGCTCGTCGGAGTTCGGTAGTACCTGAGTGTTAAGCGTGGGATCGTGCTGCAAAACGAGCCTCCCGTCCTCGCCGACGGTCAGCTTGAAGCCGCCGGTCGCCCTCTGCAGCATCAGCCCGTTGTTTATCGTGAAATTGGGGGCGATGAACGAGTTGAAGGGGATACCTTGTGCGGCAGCCGCTTGCGACGTGCTGTTCGAAATCATCCCGCTCTGAAAATTCTGGTTGAGGACCTGAAACTAAACTTGGTGGGCGCTCAGGAAACGCGGCGACGGGACGGGGTCTCACTTGGACAACGGGCGTCGCGGCACTGAGCGTCGGCTGCGCCATCGCCGATATCTGGATGTTCTGGATGTTTTTCTTCGAGTCCGTGTGCACGAAATTGGTCTGGGCTTGGATGTTGCTCGTCTGCACCAGACCGGGCTGAGGCTGAGGTTGAGGGGTGGTCGACACGGAGTTGTGCTCGCTCTCGCTCTGCGACGTATCGCTTTCGAACTGGATGTCGTCCTCGTCGCCGATTCCTTAAGGCAAACGTTAACCCAACGCGCGGGACATTTGAACTACTCCTTACCGGACAGCTTCATGATGTTGGCAAGGTCCAGCTTTTTCTTCACCTTGGCTTTGGGTTTCTTCTTCACCGACACCTGCTGGATCTGCTGCTGAAGGTGTATTTGTTGCTGTTGCTGCTGCTGGTGGTGGTGCTGATGTTGCTGGGCGTTATTGACTATCGTCTGGTGGATCTGCGACGCGTTGATCGGCTGCTGATTTGCCATCTGCGCGCGGTAGGGATATTTTATACCGGACCGTGTAACGATCGCGGTAGTTCAAATGGCCCGGCACGTCGGCACGAGATTTCGCTCTAATTTTATTTAGCGTACGGCGAAAAATTGCGAGAACCATCACTTTCATTTTCATATACAATTGATCCTATTTGTTGATTGAAAACTTAATAAAGAAAACAATACAAAGGTATCACTTGTAGAAAGTTATATCCTAAACCCTCATAAAGTAATTTGAAGTTACAAAAAATTAATTAAATCATTACACAAAAGATTTCTTGAATGATCTTTTGAAGGTTAATTTCTAATATTCTCCTAATACATTAAAAACTAGCATGATGATTCATTGGAAGTATTTATGTACACGGGTATATTAGAAACTGTAAGAGATACAGCGTCGCTTAAATGGAAGAAAAGTAGCATATGTATGCTAAAAAATATACTAGTTTTGTTTTGGTTGGGGTGACAAATGAAAATGTCCCTTTTTCAAAAACCACAATATTTTATGTTCAAATTTTCAGGATATCGGTAAAAAGCCGACGTCAACGTTTGTTTTTCTTATGGGCGCCGTATTAAATTTATACCTTTTCTTCCTTAAAAATGATTTATGTTTGGTCAAGATAAATCCGGAAAATAACAAAAAAAAATAGTGTTCGCACTTAATAAATTGTGAATTTTAAAATGAATTACTTTTCCAATAGTGATAAGTATGATATGTTGGAGTGTTTTATTCTCTGCTGCAGAAAAGAAGCAAAAGCGCAGAGCTATGTAAAGCGAGGTTGAAATACCTCGTACATCATTACATTACATGGAAGAAACAACAGGCGTTGCTCGCTCAACAGCGGATAGTATTCTAAAGCCTCATAAATATCACCCTTATGTGAACGGCCTTGCCAGGAAATCCAGGATGACGATAATGTTAAAATACTGGTCGAATGAGTGTCGATTTACTAATTGTGAACTCTTTAGTAGTAAAAACACTGTATTTTGGACAGATGTAAATCTACGGCTAGCTCGTGAAATTAGGCATCAAGTGAGATGGGGAATTAACATTTGGTTCGGTATTTTGGGTACCCACAAAATTGGACCATATTTTTTTGATGATTACCTAAATTCTGAGAGATATGAGAGAGCACAAACAAACGTAACAGAACCTCCCACTAGCGGCTCTGCAACAAATGTTTATCTTGACCGAACATAAATATGTTAAACACGGTTAAAAAGCATTTTTAAAGAAAATTTTGTAAATTGAAATTCAATATGGCCGAAAACAAAAGCTGACCTCGGCTAGTTCGCTATTTTCTTCCATTTAAGCGACGCTGTATCTCTTACGGTTTCCAATATCCCCATGTTCATACTGGACGTTGTCCTGTAATTGGTGGATATTTTCCATTTAATTACCACTACAACGTACCTGCGTGGTTACGTAAGTGGTAGAGGGCGCCAGATGCACCCCGTTGGTCAACACCCTGACCATGGGCTGTGACCTCGGCGGCTGCAACTGTAGCAGTTGCTGCCCCGCCCCCGCCGGCTGCAAGATGAGACCCTGCGCGGTCGCCGTCGGCATCTGCGCCGTCGCTCCCGCCGTCGCCTGAATTTTGGGGGCGGTCATCTGGGTGGCGGTTTGGGGCCTCAGGATGAACTGGACCCCGGGAGCGGTGAGCATCGGCATCTGGTTGAGCAGCAATGGTTGTGCGGCGGGCATTAGCGTGGCCGCCGCCGGCTGATTCGCCGGGATCACAATTTGCGGGCTGTAAAGGTTAAAGAAAAAAAATCCCTTAACAAAACGACGCCACTGGATATGCAGCAGGGTGTTTTCTAATTGAATGTCAATAATTAGGGGTGATTTTTGAGTACATTTTAACAATAAACTTCATATATGTACTAAACGTCTTAGCTTTTGAGATACAGGGTGGTAAAGTTTCCAAAAATAAAATATGTATCATGTATCAAAAGGCATTATTAAATGTACCACTTTTATTCTAAATACCCCAGTGGCGGGCGTACGGAACTCCGCATATCTATTTGGGCAAACAGTGATGGCACGCTACTGATTTCTTTTAAAATAAAAATAATTAAATTAATTAAATGAAAATAATTTCTTTATTTTAATTTGTTCAATCCGATGTACGGTTTTCGATTAAAAAAATAAAGGAGTTTTTTATGCTGCATGGTCATAACAGTATCGTTAACATGACGGCATACAGCGAATTATTACCATTACTATTCTTATCTGTGTTATTAAAATACTTCAAAAACTCGAAAATTACGAATACAAAGTAGGTAAACGTAAAAAAATAAAACAAATTTAAATAAGAATCCTTTATTATTTATATTGTTAGGATGTTATGTTATTTCATTAAACTTGTACAAGTAAAAAGAACAGTCTTCTGTTTTTTTCTGAAGGCCACTAGTTGGTAACTAAAAACTAGATATTTTGTTTTAGATGGATATTTTATTTTAAGTTTTAAGTTTAAGTTCTCCACTTAACCAGTGCAGTGGCAACCTAATTAACCAAAGCATTGGTTCATAGACAAATAATGACATTTACATGTTTTTATGAGCAGATATAATCTCTTCATTTTTTTAGTCCATGGCAGGGTTTTCTCATAAAAATAAAAACTAATTTCTCTGCACGTTGTCACATTAACGATATTGTTATGACCATGCAGAGAAGTTTTTATTTTTTTAAGCGAAAACCGTACATCGGATTGATAAAATTCGAGAATTTAAATTTATTTAGAAATTATTGGAGATTGTAAGAATATTTTTTATTGTAATTGTATTCCGTACGCCCGCCACTGGTGTATTTTTTTAAAAAAATGTGGTGCACTAAATAATAAAAATTATATTTTATTTTTGAAATCTTCACCATCCTATATCTCAAAAGTTAAGACGTTTAGGACATATGTTTATATGAAGTTTTCTTTTTAAAATGGACCCAAAAATTGTTCCCATAATTATTGACATTCAATTAGAAAACACCCTATATATAAAGGGCTTACTTAATCTGGTAACGCGAGTACTTTTGTGGCAAATACAAACAACAATTCAGGAATAATATTTGGAATAATATTTGGAACTCAGATAGTGAAGATTCTTGGACGCCCCGGACAGCGTCAGAGAGACAACATCGAATCAGACCTCCAAAAATTAAACATCCCTTTAGAACAGTCATTTCATAAATAATAAACAGCTGAAAAGAATTCCCAATTCCCGAAAGATTTAGGAGCTATTCCCGATGAAAGATTGTTATTTGACGATCATATTAATGCGATATCTATTAAAGGTTAAAAAATGGTTGAGTTTACTATCATTCTGTATATATAGTTCTGTGGTTGGGTCTCCTTCACTTGAAAGAGTACATTTTTGAGGTCAGTACAGTATTTTGGAAGGAACTACTTTCATTGCGATCTCCCAGCGAATATAGAGTTCAACTGGGGATAGATTTTTTTTTAAACTGCATATACTTTTAGAGTTAAATAAACAATATATAGCGCAAATTGTCCTTTAGGTAGGTACATATCACTGATTAATGAGTTAGAGATAGACATATTTCATGTTACATTAAGTCTGTTTACAAGTTAACTTAAGACCTGTTAATGTTAGTAATGTTAGGTAATAGTAATAGTAATGATTTATTTTTTTCCTTTTACAAAATTTTTATTATTAGGGTTGAAAAGTGGAAAATGTTAATCCTTTTCTTCTGTAATTACTTCATTTTTACTATTATCGAGCATGTACCAAAGCAGATTAAGTATAGTTAATTATTTTTTCAAAGAAACTTCCACAGGCCAGTCTAATACTATTTACAAATCTTGTGGATTCCTCCTGTGTCGGTTGTTAATGAATCGAACTTGCTGAAGTATCGCCAATCATCCTGTTGGCTTCTTCAGAGGTTAACTGAAACTGAGTCTTGGCTAAGATTGTTTGGTTGGTTAGTTTTTATAGATTCTCGGATTGTTCGTTAGTTAGACAATTGATTTCATGTTGTGTTATTAAAGAAGAATTATTGAATAAGATTCAATGTCCAATTTCATGATTAAGTTCGGTAACTGCTAATTAGCCCATACAGACGTCAGCAAGTTTCTATTCATCAACAACCAACACAGGAGGAATTCAGAAGATTTATAAATAGTTATTATTGTTTATGTTTGTTTAGTTATCTATTTGTTGAATATTGCTATTATTATGTTTAAATTTATTATTGCCAATCTTAAGTTTATTATGTTTTGTTATTTAATTTGATTTAGTTGAGATATGAATAAACTGATAAATAAATAAATACATAAATACTGACGCATGCGCTGCTAAATGGAACGAGTCCCTGTTAAATGTTGGACTTGGTGCTAAATACTCTTTTGGGAAAATAGAAAACGGAACTGATTTTTAGGAAACAAAAGTTTTAGTTATATTCACTTAATGTTTTTGTACTGTTTTTTTCATAAAATGTTAAACGTTTATTGTTTCTTGTAAAATTAATACATGTTACTTCGCAATAATATTTTGGATGAGTTTATAAATAGCTGATAATTCTTAGTAATATGTTAAATATTTCAACTGGAATACCACAGAGTTCCATCCTGGGTATGCTATTTATCTTATTTATTAACCAGCTTGACACTATAGATCCAAGTACTCTATTTACAGTTTTCGTAGAAAATGTTTCACCTTTAATTTCAAATAATTCTGATATAGTCAATTGAGTAAAAAAAATAATGTGTTATATACATACATACATGAAGCAGTTCTAACCTCCCCACAACATTCACAAATTAAAACTGGCTTCCCATTTTCCGCGAAATGTAGGTCTATTACTTTTTAATATCTTTCCAAGCAACATAAGGACCTGCAAAACTTTAAACTTTTTTAAAGTTATGTTAAATACCTTTTTATTTGAAAGAGTATTTACAAACTGTATCATAGGGTCAGGTCATTTTTTGTTCTTTCTTTTAGGTTAATATTAAGAATAATTTTTCCTATACAATGCATTATAGTGAATGGAAATAAATGTATTGTTTTTCATTGCTTGAAAACCACATCATCTATATTGTGTACGTCCCCATCTTTTAGGCCCTTTATCCAAAATCCATATCCTTAACATAGTCACCAACAAGTCCTAACTTCACACCTCATAGAAATCTCATATTCCTCAAACACTCACCTTACACTAGGTTTTGGAGATTGCTGAGGACTAGCCGAAGGTTTCGGCAATATATTTAGGTGGGGCTTGAGCTTGATGATGTTCTGAGGTTGCGACGTCTGAATCTGCCGCCCAATGAGGTTATTGTGTATGATCTGCATCACCGGGAAGTTGGGCTGAGGGGTGGGCGGCTTGAGACTGGGCGACGGCGATTTCAAACTCGCAGGCGACGAATACGGAGAGGGCGGGTAGTTAGGGCTCGGGTTGGAGTAAGCCGGCGACATGCCCGTCACGATCTGTGGCTTCTTTACGAGGTTGAGGTTGTTGGAACCGACCACCGTGCAGTTGGTGCTCAGGTTTTCGTAGTCGATTTTCTCTTGTTTGATTTGAAAGCTCGGATTTTTCGGAGATTTACACATTTTCTGTAGCGCCTTTTGCGGGTTCTGAGACATCTTTCACGGCACTTGAATTTTGTCCCGACGTTACCTTATATCACCTGGTTTAAGTACATGTTTTTTTTGCGCAACGAATATTTACATCTGGAATGCGATATATATACTATCTCGTGCTTGACGTCTTCATGTTCGTTTACGAGAAAAACAACGCGCCCGCACTAACCGAACTCGAACAAAGCCATTTTTTCGTTGTTCGCATGGAAAATCTGCGGATCCAGCGACGGCATTATTTCACCACGGGCGAACGGAACATTTCCCTTCGAGAACCCTTTAGAGAATTCGAAACTCTTCACACCGGAATCGAGGCGGCGGGCACCTTTCAACACCTGAAACAAACGAGAGACGACCTAAACCCAAACATAACCTCCACGTGCGAAATGTACGCGTTTAACCGCCATTTCTAATGTAAATCCACTCACGTTGAGTACGACGCACGACCCACGCGACACCGTAACGCGGAACGGCTCGCGATCTACCTTTGTTTATAAACGAAATTTGCAAATTTGCAACGAAATTCCGTCGCGCCCGCCATCTTTTACATATTACGATGCTCCTTTTTTCTTGTCCCTTGTTCTTAGCGCGATCACCGATCAAAGCATTTCCCCCCCACCACCCCTCCTCACTCGGCGAGCTAAAAATGGACCGATCCGTCAATGTTCAAGGTTTTCATACTGGACGCTAAATATCATCAAAACAACGCTCGGACGCGTTTTGTGTCCAGAGAATTCCGCAGTTTGGCGTGGACGACAATAGCTCTCCCGCCATGGCCGACTCCGCGAAAAATTAAGAAAATAAATCAAGCAGCTGGGAGGAGACGATAAAGGAAAGCGGCGGTGGGGGGGGCGGGTGCTCGCAAATGCGAGATAAAAATCCGAAAAGTGGCTCGAGACGCCGAATGCGACGCCCGTTAAACAAAACGATGCTCCAATAGACGGTTAACGCGTGATTGACAGGTAATTCGTTGACTAATTAAAAAAATCAATAAGTAAGTAAGGTTACAAGGTAGCGATAGGTAAAAATGACTCGCTTATAAAACGTATCAGGCGCACGGCCCGCCGATCCGGAAAAAAACGAGCCCTTTCCGGGGTTTTTCTAAGTACGAATAACATCGGAATCCAGCCTACGCGGGTTTGAACGTAAAACGATAAAATTCTACGTACCTTTTAACAATTTTCACATCACGGGTTAAAAACGGGGTTTACTCTGGCGAAAGCAGGGAACGCGCTCATCTGATTGGCCGGATGACGGCGTCATATGATACACAAAAAAATAACATTCGCTTTGAGGTTAGCTGCCGCCGGCGCGACTCTAGACCGTATGTCAAGGTCGTATAAGGAATCCCCCTTCTGGTTCCAGGAAACCGTGCAGAAATGACTTAATAGTGTTTTTAATACTAATCATTTTTTTCATGAACGTTGGAGGAGGTGTGATTTCGGTGGCCGCCAATAAAACTCGACTGCTCCGAGTGGATTTTTTGCGATTTCGAGCGCGAAACTGGCTCTCGGTTACCGTTAAGACGTTTGCTCTTCGGAATTATCGTCCATTAAATATCGATTGTTCGGGGTACGAGTTTTAATGCGCAAAACTCATTCATTGGCCGAAAAGCGAACCGTGCAACAAACGCGTTTGTCCTCCGAATTTTCGAAAAGTGCTGTCCGTCATTCGATGCCGGAAACCGGAAGTAATGAAATAAATCGATAAAATAACCCGTTTTTTTTTCTTTACGTATTTGTAATTTGCTACAACGCAGGTAGCAAACCTGTATAGGTTAACAGCAGTGGAATCCATCATCCGTCGGGTATTTTCTTTTCTGCCTTACGTAACCTTAAAACGTAATTTATTTAAAATTGCTGGTCGAAATACCAGTAATCGAAAATGTCCTAGACAATCGTTTTTTCGAAATTTGTCGTTTGAAATCGCGTATAAAATTCATGTTGCAGTGGTCTCCAAATGTATTGTTGGTTGCTCACCTTTACATCTAATATTTTATTGGAAGAATTTTATTTTTCAAGCAATAAAATTTTTGTTTTGGTTAATTTCGGTTATTTCAAGATCATGAAAACGAAAATGATGCATATCCGCTGATTTAGGCTAGACGAAATTTTTTCCAAATTTTAATATAGTTAAAATTAAAAAATAAAATACCTTCTCGCTTTGGGGGGCCCAATTTAAGCAGAAATCCCAGACCCCACGTTGCAATAAAATTTACATAACTCACAAAATTTATTGAAAAATTACAAAGGACAATCCCCTCCGAAGGGTCTTACAGTGGCATATTTACATAGACATTCGTAATAAAGAAGTCTTGGTAACCCACTTAACCCAGTTATCCCATTGTAACTCGATAACATCCTTCTCCCTACAGATAACATCCTGGTCCTTACACGACTTATGAACATTCCATAGTTGCCCACGAGTTAGAATTTTCGTTGAAGCTTGGTAACTGGGTGGGGGTTTCAGGATCGGCTTGCGATGTAGTTCCCGCACTGATTGTTTCGGAACTGGGTACATTCTCTTGAACTGTCTGTTCTTCCCAGTTGATTTTAAATCTTGTGACTCTTGGTTCGGAAGCCAAAATATTCCTAGTTACCTAATAAACGCAAACATTGACATGATTGAGTAACATGACAGAAGACAACACTCACCTTATCGAACTGAGGTGGACTAGGCAAGTTTTCTTTAAGTTCTGGATCACTATACTCATTGTTTATAAAATAACCCACCCTAATAAATTCTTGAGCTCTGTATGAACAGGTTAACAGGACAACGGTAACACCTATAGCATCGTTTTCTGGAATTCTAGAGACATTCGGTGGGTCCGCCTGCAAGCAACATACAACAAATCCATACTAAAGCAGAGGGTTTGCTAAGCTTTTAATATTCTCACAAATAATTTTAAATGTTTATGAACTTGTTATTTTAGCAAACAGAATTAGATGTTGTAATATGATAAGATAGGGCAATATCAGGTTAATGGGACATAGTTGCTCGTTGTTAAAAATATTTAAGTTTGCTCGCAAAATTGTCAAAAATTGTTTGGGTAGCAGGGTGAATATTTTTTTATCGTTATTTCTTACATACCTGAAATACAAACATGTGTTTACCTTCCGCAATAGGACCGACGAACACCGAATCCAGCACTTGATCGTATTCCTCAGACTCAGCGGACCCTACATATATCATTTTCCATTCCAGATCTGTTAACGAAAGGTTTGTAAAACATTTCAACGCGCGATGTAACCGAATCCTACCTTCTTTTAGTTCCTCTATACACTCGAACGTAATCTCAAACTGAAACGGATTTAAAAATGGGCTGGGGTTGTCCATAACCGTAATGTTACAAAGTTGAATTTTTGCCATTGTCCAGAAAAAACAACAGTTTAGAAAACAAGCAAAACTTAACTCGCGTTCGAACGGTCCTTGAAATTGGGAAAGATTCGAGTTACACAGGTATAAAATATGCAAACTCTACGGGAATAAAAAACGCTTTTTACCAATTTTTTTTTGTCAACTATCAACTATGATGTTTACGCGCCTTATAATTTCACGAGATGCCAATCGCGATCGCGTTAAATGTCATTCGCAAATGAAAATTTCCCTAGAAACAAGAAAACCGATGACGGAGGATAATAGTCTGTGGCCGGATAATTCATTGCTATAGGATTCACAAAATAATAATCACCACGCCGTTTTTATTTCTATAAAAGCATCAAAGTTTTAACAACAGCGGTTCATAATTTTGGAACCACTTACTCTTAAAAAAGTGGAAACTGAAAATGTTGTATTCTCAATGTTTTTTTTTGCAAATTAAGAAAAAGGCGGAGCATTTTCATTTCCACAATTATTACGTCAGCGATAATATGCGCAATTCTTTAACGTCAACGATCTCTGCGATCATAAACAACAAATTAATAATTGTTTGTTTTCGATTCGACGTAAATAAAAAATTGTCCATCGTTCGCGGTACTCACAGATTATAAATATAAACAGTGCTTTAGATGGGCGATTTCATGGTTAGAGGACCAAACTGTCAAAGTTTGACAAATTTACATTCAGAATTCGCGATTACACTTTTGGCAAAAAGAAAATGTGTTTTTGTTTTGGTGAATACCCCTTGATTAAGTCCAGGGTTGTCCAATATGCTAATTAAAAACGCGTAAATATTTAAATTGTCGTATTTGAAGATATCGAATTAACTATCACCCTAAACATGTGTGAAAATCCTTCGTCGTTGGAAGAATGCTGCCTGGACGTAATATGCGAAAATATACTGACTTACATCGAGCCTCAGATCCAGACCAAAGACGGTTGGACCAGTACTATTGAGGGTAGCGACTGTTACGATGATGAACGCAGCGATAAGCGCTATAAATTTCGAGATCCAGATATTTATCTTATTAACAAGGTATCTGAAAGACTTATGAACAGGATGATGGAGAAAAGGATACTGTGTGACGCCACACTTAACATATTTTCTGAGCGTAACACTAAACTCAGGTCGGTTAAGATAAAAAACTGCAAGGTAACAAAATGTGGACTCCAAATGCTCAAGCAGCATAAAATAACAGACTTGGAGGTGGTTAATTTGAAGAACGTTAGTATAGGAGATATTTTAGGTGATGACGGTAGCTGCAGCTTTGGCAGAGGCTAGTAACTGCTTTGTTTGCAGATTGCCTTAACGAGTGGACAGTTCAGAACCTCATGAACGCAAATTTTTCCAAGTGTACATTTATAGATATATGTAGGTATAGTTTTATGGTTAGAATTAGCAACTTGAAAGCGTTGAAGAGCCTAAACCTCTCTTACACCGAGTTTAATCAGGCCATGTATAAAATAATTTGTGAGGATCTCAAAAACCTGGAGAAATTGGATATATCTGGCACCCTGATCAAAGACTTGAGGCCTTTGGCTTTGTTAGCAGATAAACTCACCAGCCTATCGATATGTGTGAGTATTACTGGACATTTTTCTCTTTTTACTATTTCTTTGTCTTTTCTTTATACTTTTCGAGGGTGAACAGGTTGAAAACTGAAATCATTTAATTTTTCACCTTGAAATTTTTTTTTAAATTATAAGAATGCATTTCCTGGCTCAGGACTTGAATGCTGCCAGTGAGTCCATGATCCCAACACTACAGTTATTGAGGAACTTGAAATACCTAGACATCAGCCTTTTTAATGACAAAGTTGACTCGCACCATCTGCCACACACGTATGTCGTAGCGGAATTGCTGGAAACTGAGCATATTTTCCCTCATCTCGTCTCTCTGGACGTGTCTGGCTGGAAAGATGTCGTCGCCAGGGATCCCCTATTGCGTTTCATCAACACCCACCCAAGGTTGGAGTTTTTGGGCATCGTTTTCGACGCTGTGACATTCGATCCTGTCTTTTGCGACATCAAGTCGCGCGACAATTTCCAAAATCTGAGGATAGCGGGACTGGGAACGGAACAACAGATAAAAGTCACGTTGCAATGCTACAAGGAGCGATCTAACTATGTGCAGAAGGCGCTCTACCACCTGTTTCAGCTCACCACCTCTTTCTCGGAGGCCAGGCCCGACATTTTCAATTTGGTGTTGCCTGTGATGGAAGCCCATTCCTCCAGGTGATATTTCAATTGAGCCTACCTCGACCTTGTCTATGTTCTGGGTTTTAGGTTTGGTGTGCAGATGGCGGCCACCGCCTGCCTCTATAATTTGACGCGAGGCGAGCTCAGCAAAAACATACACCCCAAAGCACTAAGCAGGGGGGTCGACTTGACCCTGATCGCCATGGAGACCTTCCCCGACGAATTTCAACTACAGAAGAACTCGTTGCTCACGTTATGCAGCGATCGTATCCTACAAGAGGTCAATTTCGACAGGTTCAGGTGCGCCCGGCTGGTTCTGGACGCCCTCTGCGGCTTCGAGGACGTAAACATGAACCGAATGGCGGTAGCGATATGCAGTATCTTGGCGTCGAAGGTATATATTGAGCAAAGTATATATATCGCAGTTCATAACATTTTAATTAATTAAACTTATCCTAATATGCATTAGTCACATTTAAATTGGTCAAAAAATGTTTGTTAATGAGCCTTGATTTAAAAATCAATATCAAATCAATTATTTTTAATTTAAATTTTTTTTAATTCTGTTGGTTTAATATTATTTGGTCACTTAATGCAGAATTTTTTTTCCAATGTCAAGCTTCAATGAGGAGCTCAAATGAAAAATCTGGATCAATGTAAAGTCCCAGGAACTTTATATGAACTCATGTAACGAAGACTATAGTAATTTATTATTTCTAGTTTTGAGAAAAATAAGTTTAAAGTATTTGATCTATTACTATTCTTTTTTTATTAGACAAGATATCCCAATTGTTTTTTGTGAGTCTTCTAGACTTAGTTTGTCTTTAATAAAGAACCACAAATAATTTGTTTTTTTCATTTTCTTAATTTTTTTCAAGTTACTTGCTCTATGCTCAATATTAATTTTATTGTGTTTTTTGTATAATCTAGACTCTAGTGTAAGAGCTACATTTTTTCATACAACCTAGTTAATTATCTATAAAAACTATTCAGTGCTAATTTTTTGAGCTTCTACCCAAGTTCTACCTTTCTTTTTCAAAATGTTTTCCTGAGTGATGTCGCATGTTTCTCCAGATCTTCCTGCTTCTTTCTTTAATTGACCTTTACTTTGCTAAACTCTTTTAACCTGCATAGTGCTACTAAATCTCTGTAAATTGCCTCACCATCCAACTGCTTTCTTTTCTATGTATTTCTGTGTGTCGTCTTTTATGTGCATTTCTTATTTTGTCCCTTCTGGTCGCTCCTTTAAATCTTCTCAGGTATTTCATCTCTGCTACTCTAATTTTACTCTTGTCCCTATCTGACAATACTGACAATGGTCTGTAAATTGATTTAAAACTTCCATTTTAGTTTCTTTTTATTGATGAGCCTCTTACTCAATGCACAGCATACCTTATCTGTATTCTATCTTCCTCTTTCTTCCAACATGATTCCCAAGGACTGGAAGCTACTCCAATCTCTTTTCCAATTTCTTCTAGCTTAAATTTGATAAAAAAAAATTTTTTTTTACTTTAAAGCTGTTTGCAATATACCCTCCATAAGACTAACTGTTATAATAATAGAACAATGAAATAATAACTATTGAATCATTGTTAATTATTGATTCAAAGATTTTGGATACAGTTGGATTTATTGTAATGGCTCTGTAGTTATTTAAATCCCTTTTACTGTCTTTTTTAAATATAGGCATAATTTTAAGACTATTGCATAGGTTAGTTTATTATTTTTGTTTTTGTTGTTTGGTTAAAATTATTGGTGGGTTTCTAAAATTATTACTGGTATTGTTGGTGGTGATTGGAGTACGTTTTGGCAAGGGTTTGATATTTACAAATATTCTACTTTCCTGGACCTACTTATATATTGTTTGAGAGGGGCGGAGCTAAAAGAGGCCATGAACATTGTGTCAGATGACTGATTCCCATATTGCTGAAAGGTAAAGACCTGAGACGCGGTTAAGATTATTTGGTTGCTTATACATTTCTATAGATTTTCCTATTTTTCATTTTTAAAAGAATTGATTGCATGCAAGAATTTCAGTTTTATCAAATCAAATTTGATGTCCAGTTTTGTGATTGTGTTCGGCAACTGCTGATGAGTTTATTTGTCTTAGTTGTAAGGCTCTTTCGTGTTCTTTGAGTCTAGTTGATATTTTTCGTTCGGTCTGTCCAATGTATTTTTTGCGCATATGCATAAAATGCTGTGAACTTTTCGGACTCATTGTCTATGGAAAATTATTATCTCAGCCCGAGTCACTATTATTAAACACCTTACATCTGCTCTTCTCTCTAATAATTTCCACGTTAGAGATATTAAGCGGTCATTTTCTATAAGGGACAAACTCAGGTTGGCGATGTGGTTCTACCAAATTTCTGCCCCCTTGCGAAATCGGAACGATTTGAGAACCAATTTCCTAATGCTGATGCACCTCCACCAGTCGACAAGTTTCGATATTCAGATAAATCGTAGATACTACAATTCTACCGATTGATTCGACCAACCTCGGAATATCTGCCGACTGCGCCACTTTTCTAAACTTTGTTTTTCTAAATTACAAAAATTAGTAGTTTACCGTAACAGTATATTCAACTGAATAACTAGCAAATAAGCAAAACAAAAGTTTTATGTGATTAAAAGCTGACGCGGCAAAATCTAACTATACTTGCGTGCATAGAAGTCGATCCACTGTAAATTTTCGACTTTAACTACATTTTTTTTATAAACTGTTCTGCAGATCAAAAAAGGAAACATGCTGTTTAAAAAAAAAATAATATGCTTTAATATGGACTTAAATTTGTCAAGAGTGTTGATCTTTTATATGCGTAGCAACGGATAAATAAATGAAATGTGCTTATGTGGTAGTTAAAACGGGAGCAACAATTTTGTCAAAGACTTAAATTGCTTTTACAACCTTAATTTTCAAATTATTCGTTTTTTATAGAATGAGCTAAAACGAAGAATTCAAGCTAGAATTCGACCTTAACCTCGACCTGAGCTTATTGTTGCAGTAGAGGAAGAGTGGTTTAACATTACACAAGCTATAGCGAACTTGATTAGATCTATGCTTAATCGTGTAAGAGTTGTTAACTGTCACTAAGCCTATTTCTTTTAGTAATAAAAAAAACTTAATTTGCCTTCGCGAATCCTAAGAAGCCGAAATAAATATTAATCGGTTTAAACCCGTATTAAAGCGTAGTATTAAAGTCAAATGGTTATAATGGTGTGATCGCATTTGCTGCCATTATTATGACATAGTCATCTTTCCTGATATTTATTATAAGCATGTTCTTCCTATGGGTGTAGTTCTGGTTCGTCACAAAATTCGCGTGTATTTTAGGTGTCTACGGAAGAGACGTCCGAGTTGGGCGCGAGACCCGTCTACATGCGCAAACTGCTCGCGATGGTGCAAAGCCGCGTTGAATCCCGACTGTCCGACATAACCTTAAAGTTTACCCTGAGCGCCCTCTGGAATTTGACGGACGAGAGTGCCGCCACCTGCAACGTGTTCTTGGAACAAGGCGGCGCGGTCTTGTTCCTGAACGTTCTGAGGACTTTTAGGGACAACTCGGCCATAGAAACGAAAATTTTGGGTCAGTATATTTCGGGGAGGTCGCGCGCCATGAAAAAATAACATCTTCACTACAGGTTTACTGAACAATATCGCGGAGGTGGCGAAACTGCGTCAGAATCTCATTACCGACGCGTTGGTCAATGAACTGTTCGTCCTGCTCAAGTCGGAGAACATAGACGTGAGTTACTTCGCTGCCGGCATCGTAGCTCACCTAACTTCGGACGGGGACGAGCATTGGAAGGTACTTTTTTTTTGATAGGCTACTGTAATACTATTTACACATCTTCTGGATTCCTCTCGCTTCTTCTTCAGAGCTCAACTGCAATATTTTTTTTGGGTTAAACTCTGAAGAAGCCAACAGGATGATTGGCGAAATGTAAGCAAGTTCAATTCAACAACAACGAGCGATGCAGGAGAAATCCAGGAGTTTTGTAAATAGTAGTGGGAGGTATGGTAATTTTGTTATTTCTTAATAAAAATCTTTATTGAAGGGAGACGTCAATGAGTGTGATAGTTGGCTTATTGTCTCTCTGGAAATACGTCACGCTGGTTTCAAATAACGTGTTTCATATATAATTAATATTTTAGCAATGATCCCTAATCTAGACGCTCGAAAACGCCGCCAGAGTTTGTCCAAAATGTTTTATAACTTCAAAAACTAAAATTTTCTTGCAAATCTGATCACAACTAATATAAATTCTTTAACATTTGTTTGCAATGTAATAAATAAAAATTATTTTAATTCTCAATTACAGATAATACTAACTTTAAACAAACATAAAAAACTACTCCCCTTCACTGTTTTCAGAATCAGAACTAAATTGTAGGATGTCTTATTCTAATTACAAATGGTGCAAGGTCTGAAGCATCACATATCTGTATTGTCTTCCAAGCTTCTCGGATAACCCTTTCTGTCTTAGTATTTTTAACCAACCAATCAACCTCTGCTTTGTCCATGACTCTCTTGGAATATTCTCTACAGGGCCGAATGATAGTTTGCATAGTCCATCACTGTCAAACCTTTTGGAGGAAGATTGGGTACCAGGTGATTTTTAAAATAATTTCCAAAGTTTTCCCTCCGTTTAGCAATAATTAAATTTTTATCAATTTTTTTAATACTGTTGCACAAATCGTTCTCGAAAAGGAATGGTATCAATTATAATTGACATTGACATTGACTAAGAAAGTTAAAATATTGACTGAAAGTTGAGGTCAGTGAGATGTATCTGTAAACATTTTGAAATATTTGTTTAAAATGTTAATTCTCTCACAAAAATCGTTCCTGATGGAGAACGGTACCTTCTATCCTCCAATTTAGAGGAAGTACCAAAATGTGTAACTTATAAATTTCAGGCTTCACGGATTATAAACGAGCGAGATATAAAAATTCAAAAATTAACTATAAAATATTGAGTAATTAGAACGCAACTATTCCAACAAAAATAAAACAAATTTTAATGTTGTTTATTTCAAATATTATATTCTTAAATTTACTTATTGTATTTATCAAGCTTATTCTAAGAGGCAACAACAGGTCCAAAATATTTTAAAAATTATTTTTATAAAGTTCACATACAGGCGTGAAACAACCTCTTTAATTCAAAAACTACGAACGATGGAAAAAAATAGAAAAGTTGTATAATTTCATCTAGATTTTTTTAATTTGTCATAAATAAATGTGTTCCGTTCATCTGAGATAAATACTAGCTTTCTTATTTTAAATAGAAACCCCCGTTTTTGTTGTTGGAAACGCAGTGAGAATATTAAAATTAATTTATACGACTTGTAGTGCTCAAACTTTATTTATTTATTTTTATTTTTGTAATGTAAATGTAGTATATCCCTCCTCTAAACCCAAAAATTCTTTGTGGATATTTTCTCTGATACTATTGTCTTCTGGTTAAAGCCATACTTCTGTTGTTTTCAATATAACAATTAAATTGATCTAATCTTTCATTTTCTAAGTACATTCTAGCTTTTAATGGAAAAATCAGATTAATTAAACCAAATAATAAATAAATAACATGTAGCCATATTATAGCATTATTCTTCTACTTTCGGTGCCATATTAGGTCCCTCTAACATTGGCAGTTACAATGACGAGTTGTTCGCAGTTGTCAGCTATTCCTGTCCAGTCTGTAATATTTTTGAGAGGTGACATCTGTTTCGTGTCAATTCCTCTACATTCCTCGATTTTTCCTATCATTATAAATTGGAGGATTCTGTATCGCTTTCCTCTAAGAACGTGTCCCGCATATGCTATTTTTTCTTACCTTGATAGCTCACGAACTCTAACTCTTTAATACCACTTCGTTGGTCTGCCTAGCTGTCAACGGTCAGTCGAGGTCCAGGTTTTAGCCCCATATACCCATATAGACCAAATATAACACTTGATCATAAGTTAGAGGAGACTGGTCTAGTCGTTCTGTAATATAGCATGCAAGATACTTGAAATGGCTAACTGTTTCAATGTTCTGTTGTCTATTTTTAAGGAAACACCAACGTGCTTATTATTAGAATAGGAAAATGTTAAATCTTACCTTACTTTTTAATACCCAATCGGATAAAATTGAAAAAAACAGGCTTTTTTGTAATTTAACTTTTGTACTTCTTTTTTGCTCGCCCTGTATTAATTTACACCTCGTTCCCCAAGGAATCCATCCAAAATTAAATAATTAGAGGAAAAATTTGACGAAAACGCTTAGACCTAGGTAATAGGACATTGTTCATGAAATCTATGTACAATTTTTTATTTATCTATTAGATTAACGGAACGTCCTCTATACAAGAAAAATTAAAAAAATATTTCGGTCAACTATAGAGGAAGATTTGTTGGATATACTCTCCCACTAGTTTTCAATTCTAAAATTTGTTCATTTAAATTTTGTAGTTAAAAAAAAAGACGATCAATTTACAATTTACAATCAGAAAGAGTGTCTGTAGATTGGAGTCGGATCCTGTTTAGGTTACCACTCACACAAGGAACGAGATGCTGACCGAGTTGGAGCAGTCGGTGTCCCAGTGGAGGGTACCAGACGGGGAGATGGTCGCCTACCGCAGTTTCAAACCCTTCTTTCCTCTGCTTAGGGTCGACATGAACTACCAGGTGCAGCTGTGGGCCGTTTGGGCTATCCACCACGTCTGTACTAAAAATCGTGAGTGTTTACTTTGCGTTTTGTTCACATTGCTGATCATCTATTCTAACTAGTCACATATTGCTATATGGAAACATTTTAAGTTACAATATATATTATATATCCTAATTAAAATATTATCTTTTTTTTGTTTTCTGATGGTTTTAATTGCTTTCAAGTGACTAGGATGGTAGTTAAAAGCTGTAATAATCTGTGCTGGGGCATCTGAAGAACTACCTGAAGGCTTAAGCGATAATAATGATTGATACCATCCCAAAAAAAATTAATGAGGAAAAAACACCGAAGTCACTATACGGGTACATGCAAGCAATCTTAAGTGACGTTACTGCCAATCGCAATCAAAATATTACCTTAATGAATGGATACTGTAATAGTCTGGGATGGGGCTTACGAAACACTCCCTGAAGCCTTAAGCGATAATAGTGATAAATATCCTTTTTAGTTATAATTATTCCATTGACATAGGTCGAACTTGTCATTTACAAAAAATATATACATATATTAGTGAAATCGCGCTTCTACAATCAGTACATATAAGACTGTATTATATGTACTGATTGTATAAACGCGATTTGACTAATATATGTATATATTTTTTGTATTTTTTTGTTTGACTACATATACAGCTTGTTTTAACACAAAAACATATTTTTTTAAAAATTAGTGGAGAGGATTGAACTAGAGACTACCTCTATTATTCTTACTAACTAAATTTAATTTTATTTATTTTTGTTTCCTGCATTTTTCTCAAAAACTACAGAACCTACAAAAATAAATTAGTTGGGTGTTGTCAAACGGTTTCATTTTTTAGCGTTATTTATCAATTATCTTCTAATAATAATAAACGACTTAGGAAGTGACAGCAACCGATTAGATTTTTTTATCTCGTTATGCTTTGCTTTAGGTTTTTTTTTTAATATGGAAACGATAATTGCATATTATTCATAAATTATTCCTTAAATTTAGTTAAGAAGTACGATAGGGGTAGTGGTAATGCAATCTTTTTGATCATTAAAAAAAACATATAGGGAGTGTGTTTACAATTTTTTATTATTTTCGATAAAAATACAACAGTGTTAGTTTTCCACCATATTTGTAGTATTGTAATGGTTGGTTTTTCACACAACGTTTATATAACAAACCATTCGTTATTTTAAAATAGGCATCGCCTCCTTGAGTTTTCTGCATTTGTTTCGAAATATCATGTATAACACAATAAATACAGACATGATAAATGTTTTTGGCTTTGTTTTGTTTTTAACATTTGATATATTATTTTAAAAAAATGACACATCGGATTACAAAACTAAACTGAATATTCACACTGAGCAAAGTTAAACAAGAGACTGGAAGATTAACAATCAAAATAAAAAACCGAAATCTTGGACAGTACAAAAGCTTCTCGCCAAGAAAATTCGAAAGTTTGTGCTTCATTTGTTTAACTGCCAAGATAGCATCGTCCTTGAAAATTGCTGATACAAATTAAAAAAAAAAACAAAACATAATACAACAACAGTTATTGAGAAATGGGACTTAAGTGAAACTGGTTTGCATTCTACTCCGCACCGACGCAGGAGAAATGCAGAAGATATATAAATAGTGTATGAGATACTTATTACAAATCAAATTAAGCTAAAATGGAACGTTATATGTTGCGAATTACAGGTTCTCTATGTTAGTTCGGCAAAAATTTTTGAGTCTGTTTAAAAGCCATTTTTCTTTCAAATTAAGAACAACATGGTTCATACAAGGGTTGGTCTATTCTGACTAATCTTATCGTTTTCATTCAGGGAACGTACCAGGCAACGGCGAATGATAGTGACGTCTGCGTTGCTTTTACAGACTTTTCTAAACCCTTTGAAAGGTTGATGACTTCATTTTGGCTGTTAAACTTAAAAATTTCAGTCTACGTGGGAGGGTTCTGGACCTTTTAAAAAAATATTTGCAAAATAGAACCATGTATGTTGCTGCTAGTGGCATAAAATCGGCTTGCGTGGATGTGACTTCTGGCGTTCCACAGGGTTCACACTTGGCTCCCTTGGTCTTTGTTCTATTTTTATTTGAAATAGGAACTTGTTTTCTAAACTCTCATAATACAAAAATTTCTACTATTATTAACTCGCCTTTACATATAGTAAAGTTGCAAGCTGACTTAAACAGATTTTCTGAGTACTGCACTCTGAATCGACTCCACCTAAATAGTGATACATGTCACTCCACAGTATACTATTAAAACACATTAAAAGGTTTAGGGGTTATTCTGGACTCTTAAACTGTTGTTCGAGCCCCGTGTAGAGACTAAAATTGGGAAGCACTGCGTAATTTAGGATTTATTTTGAGAACTATTGAGGGTTTTAAGAGCCCAGATGTTTTAATGACATTATATTACATTATAGTAAGAAGCGTACTGGAGTATCCGTCAACGGTTTGAAGTCCGAAGTATGCTCTTAATTCGCGTTTCAAATTAGTCTGCTCCAAGCAGTCTGTTGAGTAACCTTGCTTGTATAAATGAATAAATAAATATATACAATTGGAAGTTGTAAAAATAATTTAAAAAATATTGTTTGTTTTATTTTTTTAAATAATTTTCTAGTTCTTGGGGGCTCTTGTGTCAGCAACTTGTCATATTATTTTTTTTATCAAATTGTTCTGGCAGTCCATTATTTCCAGCCAAACGCTACTGCCCAATGCTGCAGGAGGAAAGGGGCCACTCACTGCTCACCGATCTGATGAACTACGCTGGTTCTCATTGGGAAATCAAGCGGATCAGTTGTCAGATCCTGGACACCCTAACGAAGAATGGTGTTCAAGTCTGAAGCGACCATTGTGATTCGTTTATATATTTATATAGTCCAATTGTGGGTGTTTATAAATGAAACCGTACTCTTTAAGCGCGAAACGTCGTCAAAAAGTCTGAAAAAAATCGTTACTTATAAATATAGGAAAATGTTGTATCGCTACGTGCCAATAATTCACGTAGAGACTGTAATAAGGTGTAAAACCCTAGTCAAAATATATGTCGTTGTTAGAAGATGTAGTCGTTTCTTTTCGCATTTACCCGTTAAAACCCGACTCAGTCAAACACTATTTTTAAGTCCACAAAATTGAATTAAATACAAATATATTTTGTATCGGAAATTATATGAAATAGGCTATATTTAACCAATTCAACAAAAAATAAATTTACCAATCTGCGATCATCGAAGCTTATCCTCACTGTTTTGAGGTAATTAGCTAAAATTATAGTAAAAAATTGCGCAATCAGCAACATCTATCTTGAGCATTTACGTCAAAACCAACAGTAATCAAAACTAACCGACATTAACCAAAATAATTTGAGAATATACATTGTAAATCCTAAAAATTTCGGAGCCAAGTTCACCGGCAGGCCAGACGCTTCTCCCAAAGATGGACCGCAACCATTATTAAACAATGCAGTGGCCCTATTATTAGAGATGGCAATTATCTTCCGCGCATTAACCTGCACTGTGCAATTTGCTTTCTAAATAGCGACATCCACACACTTAACTCGATTTTAAATCTCGCCTATGCCCTTGTTGAACGGACCTTGTAAAAAAAAATTTCATAGTTCGATAAGTTTCTGTTTTGCTTAGTTAGCATAGGCAGGGCCTCTCTATGTCTCTATTATCTCATGGCCTAGCCAGTCGATGAACTTGGCTCCCAAAGTGAAATCATTAATCAAGTAATCACCGACATATGTCTTTAGCAGGCACATTAAAACCAAAAGTAACCAAAACTACCCAAAAACGAATGGAGAATTCATAAAAATTCGATTGCCAAGTTCGCTTCTCTCAAAGATCGCTGGAAACTATATTAAAAAAGAAAACATTTGCGATTTATTAACGGAACTGTACAATCAGTGTCACTGTGAACAGAAAAATAACTACAAAACAAACGCACTAAAATTACGAAAATATACCTATCCATGACAGACCAATGTAAAATTATAAAAAAAACAATACAATTCGATGCAACTCCACTTCTCAAACCTAAAATAGCGTTTTAATGTTAATTTAAAATAAAAACGGAACGACAACGCGGATCTTGAATTAGTGCGTTTCACGTACACGCGAAAATTCAACGAACTAAAATTTAAAAAAAGAGAAAAATCCCACTTCGAAAATAGAATTTCCCGCCCAAATTGCCGTCAATTCACCAACACAATAATTTAAAAAACACCACAATGGCAGTGGATTGCGGCTCGGTGGGCACGACAGCAAAGGTGGCAGAATTATGTATCAATCGCGCCCGAAACGCAATAAATTTGCGGCGACCTGTTTGCCGGGGGATTTAGATAAATTTTGGGCGCATTTTTGGCGGTCGACGTAGTCATATGTTAACGAAACCATCTCCGACAACATCCGTCTACGTTCCCGACGCCGCAGCTCAGACGTTACTTTTGGGGGAATTTTCTTTTGTTGGGTTTGGTGACGAGGGTGGTGGGCACGCGCAGATCTAAACCCGATTCGTTTTCGACGATCCCCACTCAGTCTTTTCGGGTGCACCATGTTCCTCGTTACACAGTGCCGAATAGAGGACTGGACAAAACGCAATGTCCGTTCGCCATTACTGTCGAGAGGAGCTGCGAAAAGTTCTCTCCAAATACATTCGGTTTTCACGGTACAAACCGACTTTAAATGCAGAATAACGTAACAGAACTGACGCAGAGATTACTGGGAGCACTGGATAGCAATTATAATGTAAGGGAATGCGTAATTCAGGAGATATTCGCGTTTTTTATACGTGAACACCATTCATACTGCTAGACCAGGTGGACTGTGCTGTGCCTCGTACCCTTCGTACATGTAAATAAGCTCGTTATCCGTCACGAACTGACGGAATCGTTCATTATTTGAAGATTTTCGGCGTTTCAACGCGAATTAATTACATTTTTGCCTTTGTTGATTGTTATTTCGCAACGTCAGACTAATGGCTTTATATAAGAAGACATAATAGTGCTTCAAATTTAAAACGTATTTACCCTATTTTGGCGGAGAAAACGTCTCTCGGATGAAAAGGGGACGTTTTCAACAAGTGCATTGCTCTTTCATGTGATTCATGACATTTACAAAACGCCATTAAAGGGCGCAGCGCAGTCGGGTTTTAACGGGGTGGTCGCGGGGTTCCGGTCATCAATTTTAATCCGTTTTTAGGTCATCGACATGCCTGAAGTTTTCGATATCATCTCGCTTTTGGACAAAGTGGCCATTACCAAAGAATTACTACAGGTAAGACTTCAAAACCAATGATGCAAATTTTGCCATTTGTTTGCCCCTGGGGTGTGCTAGCTCGGATTTTTTTTGTTAATACAGTCGCATTTGTGACCTTTAGACTTATTAGCTAGATTTCATCGTGGTTGCTCTTAAAAGCCCGGGATATATAATCAAAATCTGTTTTATAAAGATATTCAATTTATTTTATTCTTTTGGAAATTGTCGCCGAATGTTGATCAAAATGTTAGCAAGGAGCAACCCTAAGCTGTATTAGCAACGGTTGTTTAGATCCCTCATTGCTTGCCGCCTATTGACAGAATTCAGTACAGAATATAGTTAACACATTAAGTAAGTTAAGGTTTACATAATCTGTTTACCCCAAATCTAAGTTAAATAAAATTGTTACCCTTGATTTAAAAAGCAAAAAATGGAAATTCTGTTAATTCTCAGGATATAAACTAAAATTTTCGGAAAAATACAAATGAAATTCCCATTTTTGATTGCCAGTCTGTACCGACTTCTTCCCTTCACTTCTGAGGAAGAAAATTATATAATCAAGGTCCAAAAACAAAGGGGATATGGCATTTATATCAATTTTATTTATTTAGTTTAATTTAATGCATGGATCTTTGTATTTGTAGGCCACCAGATTGGGCAAGCACGTGAACGAACTGAGACGTAAGACGACCAATGAGCTACTCTCGAAACGGGCCAAAGACCTGCTGAAAAAATGGAGGAGCCTGGTGCTGCCCGAGGCCAACGGGCAGATCAAGAGCAGTCCTCCCCTGCAACAGCCGTTGACCAAAGTGAGCCCGCCTCTGCAACAGCAGATCTCGCAGCGCCTCGCCAACCCCTGCCTCGGTCCCAAGCTGAGCCCCAACTTACAGCAGCAACAGATACAGAACCAAATAAAAATGGGTCTCAGCCCGCCTTTAGTCGATAAGGAGGCCGACGTTAATTTAAATCAGTTGAAGGGCAAGAAGCGGCCCATCAAGGAGGTTCTGGATACTGTTAATGCCAAAAGGTGAGTGGGTTCACCAATATGATGGGATATTGGGTCATTTAATATTTATTCTATTAAAAAATATATTTGTCATTTACTACCATAACCCCTATCAAACAAGAGAGTGCTCCCAAATGATACAAAATATATCATTTATATCTCTTGTCGCTAACATACAGGGTGTTTCAGAACGAATGAGAAAAACTTTTTGTGGTGATTTGTGGTATTTATTAGTTTTGGTTAATTCAATATAATCGTGTTATGTAAAGGTAATATGGTAATATTTTTATCTTAAAAGCGAAGATAGGATGTTATTTTTGCTTGCAATGCGTGGAAGTGATTGAATTAGGCTACCCTTATCAATCTTCTTAACTCATTTTGAGGTAGAACTTACACAATGACATGAAAAGAAAATAATTTCAACAAACGGGTTTATTTCAAACTTTTCTAACCCATGCAGTTTTTTTCATAAAATGTACAACCGTTTTCAAATAAAAAAATTAAATATGAAGCATTGAATGTCCAAAAAAAATATTTTAGAAAAATAATTTGGTTGAGTGCTGTCAAACAGTTGTATTTTGAACCAACATTTATCAATTATGTTCTAAACAATTACATTTTAAATATAATTTATTAATAACATTTCTGAAACTATTTGATTTATCGGAAAATTAGTGAATAAATACCTTTTTTAGAAACATTTATTTAAATAAAGTAACTCAAATAAAAACACAAAAAATAACTAATGCATCTAAGGCAAAACAATTTTTACAGTAAATGCGATATAATACATGCATCTATCTATCCTGCTCTACTACACTGGAATATACTTGGATTATTTCTTATGACATTACGAGGCTTTATTATCCCATTTCGTGGGTTTTTGATATCTTGCATTTGGGGAAGATTAATTACTTTAGTTATCTCCAAATTCAAAGGATTTAAATCTGTGTATTGATTCGGCCATTGATTAAGTCCACCTCTTCCTATCCAGCAGTTTTCCTACATATAATTTAAAAATGTAATACATATCTTTTAGTTAACAGAAGTAGAATTTCTAGCAATAGTTTTTCTTGTAGAAAATGAAAATAGGACTCGCCAGTTAAAGGCGCTTTTTGTGAAAGTTTCGAATTGCATCGCTTGAGAAACTAGCCAAAAGAGAAGTTTAGAACAAACAAAAAGATTATCGGTGATCATTCATCGAAACCTTTGGAAAAAGTTATCCTCGATGGTTGCCCTTAAGTAATATTTTGCACAGCAACTTCTAATTTGAATGTTCGGTCTTTATCAAACCTTTCAGATTCATATAGTGATGATGTCTATGTTTAAACAATAAACAATCACACAGACAATCTCGAAATATTTAATCAATAGTTATTTAACAGACTTTCTTAATATTATAATACATAAATACTTAAGTCTTTTAAAAATAACAATAAAAATTAAAATTTAATTGTAAATATACAGCAAACAGGCAGACATATAGTGTAGTAAGTAGCAGGTTAGGTTAACAGAACTAATTAAATGATTACATGAATTAGATAATAAATTTTCGATTAAATTAGTCGTATTTTGTATTCAAACCAACTGAGCAATGTCAAATAAGCAATAATAAGAACCGCTTTAAGAGGTGATCTTGTTATTCATTGCTTTAGATTACATTTTTTATTTGAAAACATTTTGGAAAAGTAAAACAAAAACAAAATTATGTCATTGCATAAGTTTTTCCTTAAATTTAGTTAAGAAGTATGATAAGCGTAATCTAACTCAGTCACCTCCCAAATAGCAGTTATTACATAAAATATATATAAAAAAACAGAGAACTAGTAACATTTTGTATATGTAGAACCACATTTTTTTGCTCAAATCTTACGGTGGTACAGATGTAGGGAAAAAGTTAATAAAAGAAATAACCCTACAGTGGCCTAATATCTAAATACAAAATTGAAACTTCCTCTTGAATGTGCTCAACTCAAGTATAGCAAAAAATAAAAAATTCACGGGAAAACTGCAAGTCGCTGTTTTTGTTTTAAGGGAGGATATTTAGAAATCTATAAGAAGTGTCACTGCATTATCTAAAATATTTGATTATTATGGATTGTTTTCGTGACATTTTAACACTTTCTTCAGACTTAGAACTGGTCTAAACTATTTCAATATTGAAAATTTGGAGCATGGCCAAAGGAACAAAACAACGACAATAAGAACACAACATAATAATAACAGGAGCAACAATACTAAGAACAGAACAAAGAATTATAACTTTGAAAATAAACGAGTAGTTTAATCATATACCTTCAAAATGTCCATCCAAGGAAATTTTGATTTCATACTTGGATATTATTATTGCGTCTAGCGACAGACCTACAAACTTGAGAGTAATTTTCTTCTATTTCTCTTGGTCAATCCTTTTATAAATGTTTTTGTCCCATTTCTGTATGACAAATTTCTTTTGAGATATTATTTTGTATCAATACAATAATGTTAACATCAAATTCCAGCATATATAATACTTACGATTACAAATCAGAACTTTGCAAAAATTCACTTATTTCTAACAATACCATTTTTTTTTTAATAAGAAAACAAGAAATTCGCAATATTACAACAAATATCAACTAATTTAAGAACATTGAAATTCCTTCAAATTCAAAAACAATTATTTTTATAGATGCCTCAGGTATAGATTCCTAAATATCTTTAATTATGTCATTAGTCCTGTCAGTTTTTAAATAGTCAAAATCTGGTTATTTGCCCTATCTAAAGAAAAAACGATATAGTGAGTTTTTCCAGTATTTAAAGACGTATGATGTTCATTCGACCAGTCCCTCAATCCATGCAAGTGATCGTGTCTTATGCCAAGTGTCACCATGAAGGAGGACAGAATCATCAGGTTAAGTTGTAGCGAAGTTTACGTCATGTTCAGGATGAGATAAACAATAATAAAAGCCCTCTAATGTTATTTTTGGTATTAAAGTTCAAATAAATCAGTAAAAACTTGTCGATCTCTTGATATGAAAGAAATCATTTAAATACCTAAAAAGTTTGTCAAAAGCCCTCTAAATTTGTTTACTAAATAATTTATATGCACATCCCAGCGAAGTATATTGTTAATTTTAATACCTACATAAGTAATTGATGTCACTTCTGGTATTTCATAATTATCAAATTTTAAGCTTCCTATTTTTGGAAGGTTATTTTTGTAACTTGAGAATGGCATGTACTTTGTCTAAAGTCAATTAGTTATGTTGGTGCCAGTTCTTTAGCTTTACAGAATAAAGCTGTGTCGTCCGCGAAACTTACTATTGTGCCTGTGAGCTGGAGATTTAACATATCGTTTATATAATTAGTAAAAAGGAACGGTCCTAGGACAGTGCCTTGAGGTACGCCAAACTTTACTCGTCACTTAATGTGCCATCAATGTAGAACCGTTATTTTCTATTACATAAGTAGTTTTTTAAAAGATTTTAATCTGCTTGGTGGCTCATAGCATCTAAGTTTATTAAGAAGGGTTTCGTAGCAAACAGCGTCAAATGCTTTTGGAAGATCCACTAACACGCAAATGCAAGCTTCACTGTTGCCCAGTGCGTCATTTATTTGAGAAGGTAGAAATTAAATGACGCCTTGTGTGGACCTTCCCTCCCTAAAGCCGACCTGATATTTCGATGGAACATTGTATTTTGTGAGAAAACAAACTATTTTTTTTCATTATTTGTTCTACGATTTTAGAAAAAACTGACGACAACGAGTTGACTATTTCCAATTTGTCTTCTTTTTTAATAATACCAATTTTTAGGCACTCTGGGAAGGACTCTGAATCGAATATTCTGTTAATTAATATGGCTAAGATGGGTGAAATGTGTACTGAACTTGCTTTTAAGTTTTTGCTCCATATGTTGGTCTCACCCAGGTGATTTTTTTAGCGTGAAGTTTTTTATTGTTTTTTTTTAAACATTGAGCTATGCAAAGTAGGGATGTTATCCTTATATTTCGGTATTTGTTTGACTTTTTTGCAAAATTTGCACCCAAGTCGGTATAAAAGTTATTTAATTCATTTGACATGGCGGTGTTATTAGTATAATAGTATGCCGTTCTGATTTTTTATTTGTTCTATTTTTGTCTTTGGCAGAGCTTTGCTCCAAATGCAAGGTTTGACATTATTTTCCTTGGAAAGAATTCCTTCTTATTGTTTTTAATTTGTATTCTGACCTTGTTTTTACATGAATTGTGTCTTTGTTTTATGTTGTTGTTGTTTGACTGATTAAGAAGTTCATGATATAATTTGGTGTTTTCCTGTATTTTGTTTTTAAGAATTTTTTCTACACGAATAATAGTTTTCTGTAACTGTCACGAAGAACCGCGTCCATCCTGTATAAATACCAATTTGAAAATGACGATTTTTTCTCGGACATATCTTATCCTCCCATTTTGCGTTCCAGAGGCCGATACAATGGGGTAACCGATCTGGAACTGTCGGACAACTCAAACTCTAGCTTTAAGGATGTGATACCGTCGTCGGGCGTCGCGACGCCCGTCAAATCGGAACCGAAACGCGACGTCATAGTCATCAACTCGGACTCGAACTCGAGTGCCCCGGAACGGGGCTCGGAGCCGCCCGTCGACCAGCAAATGCCGAAAAAACGGGGCCGCAAAAAAGGCTCAAAAAACCACAAGAACCTGATCGACGAGGCGGAGAGCTCGTTTACCAACAAGCTGGCAGTGTCGGCATCGCGGGGTAACTCCAAGGTGAAAACGACGCAGGAGCTGCTGGCCAGCATCCAGAACAAAAACTCAACCCTGAATGCGGCCAGTCTCAAGCCCAAGGAGGACCTGGTGGAGAAAGCTGCGAAGCTGACGGAACGGGTGTCCATCATCGATCAGAAACTGAACACGAACGCCAGCAGGAGTAAGAATTCTCAGAAAGGTGAGTAATAAACTTTATAGTTAAAACCGTCTGTGGTACAAACCACAGACTTAAATAGACCGAAAAGTGACATCTGGTGTTTGTCCCGTTTATCATTTTAAAATGCCTGTAAAATAATTGCACAGGTTCCTTCTTTATCAAACGAGCGAGTTTAACGAATTTGGTCTCAAAATTAATTAATTAAATTGTTTATAATTATCACAATTATCAAAATGTCTTGTATTTTTTGAATTCTACAATTAGCGTATAATATTTTCCTACCAAAGAAAATGTAAAAAGCAACTTGTTCCAAGTGATGATTTCAATCGGGTAAAGAAGAGTTAATAGGTGGAGTACTATATACAAAGGAATGTCGACATTATATCTTCGTTTTAAAATTTCGTTTTTGGTACAATTTGTTACAATTTTAGATCTTGGTTTTCCTTTTTTGATACGAAAACGGCATATTTACTGTTTTGTCCTTTCAATGTTTTGTTAAGCTTTTGGGACCACCAATATAGTGAAAACCTTGTTATTATCTCATACAACTTATCACACACCAATCACACAATTATGCAGACACCAAATTATGCGGAAAATGAGAATTGTTTTACTGAAATAGCATTTAATGTTTTGCTTATATTTGGATTGTGTGATACTTTGTTACTAAATGATATAAAAAATCTAGTGATTTTGAAATTAAAAATCTCCAGGTTGTGTGAGTTTCTCTTTCATACTGTCTTGTCTCTATAAATTCCTCATCTCTTCGGTTTGCACTATGCCATTTGAACACATTATTATTGCACAATAAGCAAGTTTTAATATCTTTTGATTTTAGTGCCATTTTTATAGTAATAATAATATCATATACTTTACGGTGCATCTGCCAGTTCTATTCCTTTTAAAAAACAGAATGTCCTTCGAAATTTCCAATAAAACGTCCAGATTTTCACACCAACACACTAACATCCACTTTGCCCATCAAAAAACTTTAGGATCTAAATAATAAATATACACTTGACGTGTTGAGTATCTGAGATTTTGTGGTTCAACATTGTTTATGGCTGCATTTCTTGTATTGTGCCCACGATGATTAATGGTCGTGAATTCCACGCAGAGTGGAGTGTAGTTGAAAAGGGTGTATCACGGGGCAGCGTCCTAGGGCCGCTGCTTTTTCTAATCTTTATTGATGACAAAAAATAGTCCGTTGAATATATCATCTGAGTGGTTCTACACCTAAGGATGACTAAAACAGAGTCAGTTATTTTCTCTAGTAGACAACCGGACGGTAAAATAGTAAAATATTTAATGATAAACTTAGATTTTAAATGTTTTTGGGAGGGTCATATCAAATCAGTTACTAACAAAATTAATAAATACCGTTTTCTGTAGTGGAAACTGTAAATAGAGAAGTTATGTTATCCTTATCTAGGCGCATTGGGAAGGTAAATGGTTGCGCAAAAAAGCATTTTAAGAACAATAACATTTTTAAAGAGTACCTTTTCAGAAAGCTAAAGATACTTACCGTGTTTTCATTGTTTTTTGCATTGTGCTTCTTATGTAAAAAAAAAATTACGGAACTTTTGAACATCTGTAACTTCTAATAACTTGTCAGTAACGACTATTAAAATTTGTCAGACTCTATGAAACTCCATCCACAGGCAGGCGGAATGATTAAAAGGGGTTTTACTTTCTTTTATTTCAGAAATTCTGAAATGTACGAACTAAAAACACTAGTAATATGAGTCAAGCAAACAGTTTCTATTTTGATGTGACCGGGTCACTCGTCTTACTTAAAAAATTTTTAAAGAATGTTCGTCAGGAAACGATTATTATTCCGGGTCTACTGGTAGGTACGGCCGTTACCGTGATTCGGACGAATATTTTCGTCGGGTACTTTTGTTTGTTTTTTATGAATAATTCCGTTTCTAATGGCAAATTAAAAAATGCGCTTGGGATATCATAATACTCGGCTAATACCTTTTTTGAATATGCGGCCAACGGCCTAGTATTACAATACACCCTAAAAATAGATTTCACGTAGTCATTTACGAGTTGAGGAACATATTGCAACAATAGTTAATAAATCTCACCGAAACTTGGTATTTGCAATGCGAGTTTTTTGTCAGATCAAACTTGAAATACTCATAAAAAAAGTTTATGCGTTCCCTTGTGTTCAATTTTTATCCAAAATTAGTTAAAATGTGTTCGAATATACCAGGAATAAAATAAATTAATAAGAATAGTCCACTCGTTTTACTAAAGAATACCCACCTTGGACCAAATAATGTCCGAAATGAAAAAGGATAATTTCGTTCCACCTTTGCCCTTTGAAGGAAATGAATTTTCGTAACGGAAATTTTTTTAACGAGGTGAAATAGAAAAATGAAAAATGAACATTGTAGAGCGCCTTATTATTTCTCTGGACTCTCAACGATTATAGTTCATCTGACTACTATGATCATAGTAGCAGGAAATTGTAAACATTTGTTTAAATAGGAATTTATTACAATTTAATAATACAAAATAAACTAAGTATGTTGGTATATTATTATGTTTTTCTTAGGATTAAACTCATACTTCGTTATTAAGGCCTCCTTTTCCCTTAAAGCGTTTTTGAAATGCATAATATCTAAAGAATGGTTCAAGCAACAAGGAAGCTTCAAGGGACGACTATAAATTTGAAAGAAGTCAGGCGGCGGCGAGAAGTCAGGTGACCCATGAAAAGTATTTCCCAAATACTCCCTAGCCATATGGGAACTACAATAACTTCTTCTAGTGCGGATTCAATTTCATTTTGTCCATAAAAAGTAGCCCAATAATATGATGAGAAGTATGAATACAGATATTCATTGCATTGGCTCTAATACCGACAGTTGGTTCGTTGTGAATGTAGATTTATCAGTAAAACAAATATATATTTTTAAAGCCCTATTATTATTTGCTTTTTACATCTTCGTCACCTTCCCGGAACTCTTTGTATTTATATGAAAAATATTTGTTTTTTTAATGTGCGCAAATCTGTCGTTTGTCCAGCTTGTCCAAGAATTCTGTAAAATGTTCAAATCTCTATTGTCCCTTTCTTCTGCTCCACTATCGACATTTTCAGTTGAACATTTTTAGTTATTTATTACGGTGCCTTTAATTGTTGATATGAAAGGTGTAGTTTTAGCAGATAAATAAACTGAAAACTTCTTCTAAACTTCTCTAAGGCCTGCGTAGTACCACTTAATTATGGTTACTTTTTCTACAATTGAATAACGCATATTTAGGTTTAGTTAAAGCGTGTTTACTAACGTATAACAATGTCAAATAAACATTGTGTTACTTTTACGAATTTTCGTGTTGTCATTGTCAAAACGTATTTTACTGGTGTTTGATTTAATAACTAAAGATTGGCTTATTACAATTCGGCACATGAGTTAAACATGCAGGCCCCTTAAAAAGTTATATTACAACTTTAGTATAAAATATACAGGGGAGCCAATATCAAAAAATTTAAATGGGATATAGTCTATGGATGTTGATAAGATAAAATTAAAAAATTAAAATTTATGTTAGAAATTCTATTTGTTTATTTTTCAAAAATTTTGTCAGATTTCTCAGAAATTATCAATCGTTTTTCAGAGATTCTGACTTATTCCTCAAAAATTTGCCTGCGTAAACTGAAACCTTTATTTTCGGTGGTCATTCGGCGCTTGCATTTTTTTTTCTAAATAAAAATTAATCCGGTGTTGTTTCCGTGCTTTTCAGACGGTAAGTGTGAAATGCTTGGTTGACACTCTGGTTTTTGTCGTTCCAAATAGGTAAATTTAGCCTGACCGGTCGCAACGAACGGGTCATAGAGAGCGGCTCGGTCATCAACGACAAGTCCCTGTTGGCGCAGGCCAATCGGGATTCTGGCGACGAGGAGATCGTGGTCGTGGACGATGTCGAGCCCGAAGAGTACTCGGACGTCAAAAGCGAGAGCCAAGAGACTGAAGAAACGCCCGAACGGGAGGATTCGAGAGTGCCCAGGTCGGTATCTGACCGCCGCGCCACCTATTGCCAATATCGAATCCGTTTTGTGTGTTTCTACGGCGCACTGTGGTTTAGAAAACGTGAAAGTGCCGCATTGAATTATTAACCGCTTTTTTATGTGATATATGGCGTCAAAACTTACCATAAAGTATAATTTAAATAAGATCTTAGAATGAAGAATATACTGAAAGTGTTTTTTTTAACTTTAAAGAAGTTTATTATTTTATGTACAATTTTTTCATTTATTTTTGATTTACCATTTATTCAAGTTTATACAAATTATTTAATATTATTTAAAGTAACCAAACTTCTTAAAAATGTATAAAATGAACGCTTAAAACAATTTCAATATATCAAAATGTCTAAAAAGAATAACAATATAATATTAAAAAAAAAACAAAAATAGAAACATCACAATAGACGTACATCGGACTATGGCGTTTCTGTTTGACAGTAGTTATTGACATCTGCCGTTAACTTGACAGCTGATATTAATGAAGCGGTCAGAGCCCACTTGCAGTATTAAAATTGCTGCTTACTGTTACATTTCATAATATTTGCAATACAATCATGAAGCCCAGAAAAAGTATTGATGACACCATAAAAAAAACATAAAATCTCAACAAAATGAATCAAAATGGATAAAACTATTTATTCATTTTTTTAAGAGGGACTTAATTACTTTGGCCGACAATATACTTACTGCAGCTCTCGATAACCGTCTAAAGGCACTCTTTTTTGTATATTAAGTGTTTGTCATATTTATATTTTTTTATTTTTAAAACCAAAAGTTTTTGTTTGGGATATTTATAATATAGAAACTACATAGATTAAGTATCGACATATTTTCTTTTTCTTGGTCAAATTGACTGCGCTGCAAAAATTAAAAAATGCAAATATCAGTAATTATCATCATCAAATCAATTCGTAAGATTCTATCGTATTGTTGTAATTGAAAGAAAAAATTACAGAGATCGTATTGTCATCTATCAAAAAAAATTATTACAGGTCAGCTTTAGACCCAATGTGGCATTTTTTAGATTTCTGTACTAGTGTGCGGCGCATGGCACCAAAGTCTTTGGGTGGAATTCGGTTTGATTCGGACCACTGGTACCTTTGGACTCATATCTTTGTGTATAGTATCCACCTATGATGTTATTATGTTCTTTATCTTTGCTAACTGCATACACCCTACATTTCTTTTGACTTCTGGTGTTACAGCTAGGTTCATAAAAAACTGATGCGGCTTGAATTTTCCACATTATATTTTGAGCAGTATGCACATCATTAGGCTGTCATATCACATTTTGACAAAACAAACTTTGTTTAAAGGTCTAATATGGAATCTAAAGGCAACATTTCTGTAATAAAAATTAATTCAGTTTAGCTGTTTCGTCAACTGTTTAGCCAAAGGTGTAAGAGCGCGTATTCCTATTGCATTGCCATTGCGTGTGCCACTTCATAACTACAAGAAAAGTGTCTCTAATCTCTAACAATAAAATGTATTATTAAATCTATTTTTATTACTAAAAACTCTTGCGTCTACCTTTACTGATCGAAGACGAAATTATTGTAAATAATAAGAAACATCCTCTTTGGTAAATTTGTGAAGATGTCTTGCAAAAAAATGTATATTATGGTTATGTTATATAGGTATTAGAGTATTCAGTAATTTGTTCTATTTTATTGTTTATTGTTGATTGTTCTCTTAAGTTTTATCATTAAAAAACGTCTAAATTAAACAGACACAACTTTTATTTACTTTAAAAATTAAAAGATAATTTTTAGCTTTTAAATAAACAACTTAAAAATAATTGGGTTTGGGTAAATACAACAATTAAAACAAATTTAGAAGATGGTTGAACGATTTCAGCAAGTTTAACATAAACAGGATAAGAAGAAACACATCCATCACAGCTTGAAGTCTTCGGCTTGTTTGTTACGAAGTTCTCTGCAAGAGATAATTCTTCCCATACTTCCTGAAAACCTTGCCATAGCTCTTCGCTGTTTTAAAGCATAAAATTTCTTCAATGCAGTGATTTCACCATTATGCCCTCCATATATTTTCAATTGGGTTGATGTCAGGACTGTTACTTGACCATGGGAAATTTTCAATGTTGTCATTTTAGAGCCAGTCTTTTTTTGCTGATCACAATTCTTGCTTTTACCTCTTTAGGGGCTTCCTTTTCTTTTCCAACGTATTGTACAGTATGACAACGACAAGTTCTTTAAGAGTCGTATCAGTTTTTTATGAAACCAGCCGTACATGATCGCATTTCTAAAACAACGATCCTAATTTGCGTTTCATTGCTGCACTGTTCCAGTTGCTGGTGTATGTATGTTGGAAAATTAAAATTTCTGACACCTGCCTCACCAATATACAATGTCCAAACATAATGACAAATTTTGAGCATTGAAAATCGAAGCTATTAAAGCGTTTAAGTGTTAAATACGTGACCACTTTTTTTAAATTTATCACAGTATTTTTTAAATTTCGAATGTTAGCAGGAAGTAGTTGTAGTGAGGTGCCTTTTTTTTTATGTACATCATTTTTTTTTAAATTCCTGATCTGGATCGAAAATGTTAATGTCGCTCTCAAACTGTCGACAGAATTTACGCTGATAATAATAAGTACATCGATCGATATGATGTATTATATTGCTTTTCTTTGTTAATCGCATACACCCCTGGCTCTATATCATCGCTTTTCTGAAGTTTTTCCTAAATCCTAATTTGCTTTTGATTGCGTCACTGTTCCAGTTGCAGATGTATGCATGTTGGGAAATAAAATTTCTTGCACCTGCCTCGCCAATATACGAAATCCAAACCTCCAATTCCAAACATAATGACAAATTTTAAGCATTGAAAATCGAAATAAAAGCTATTAAAGTTTGAAATACGTGACCATTTCTTTTTTAAATTTATAAGACATAAACTTTGTTATTTTGTCGACATTTTTTGAACGAAAATTTAACCATAGACGAAGGGCACGACTTAGCCAGTTTGACGGATGCCGCTTAGCTTATACAGAGGGTCCCAAATAGGCGGAGCCGTTTTGGTGAATTCCATTAACAAAATCTCAAGATTCTCAAATGGAACACCGTATATTTTTATTCAGATATCAATTCTAAGACAGAAAAAAGTTTGTAATTTATCTTATATTTAAATTTCACTTACTTTTTGAGATATTCGAGGTTTAATATAACATCTGTATAAATTCTTGTTGAATTTAAAGCTGCCCATTATAGGTCACTTGTTGGTAATATTAGGTGCTTTTTAAATAGCAAAGACATGATACTACTTCTTAAAGATATAATACTCTCAATATATACAAATAAAACCTATTGATAACAATACAGATTTAATAAAACTTCAGAATTCATATTTAAATAAAAATGAATAAAGTTTATAGGCCAAATAACCAAAATTTGAATAAATAAATCTATTTAAAAAAAGTTAATTAAAAAGAATTCATTAATTCGGTCCATAAAGTTCAGTTAAATATGTTCCCCTTAAAATTCCTCTTAAAAAACAACAAAGAAATATTAAAATATTTAAAAATGTAGTTTGCTATGACATCACAAACTCTTTTTTTGACGCATTAAGGTATAAACAAACTTTGACATTTCTGTTTGTTTTTGTTGTTTTTCATATTTCTATTTAAAAAGTTCATAGTTGTCAAGTTTTTTGTTAGTATCTATTTTATTTGTATTTTAAATAAGTTATAGTTTTTTGGTTAACCTATAAACTTTAATTATTTACTTTTGTTATTCAGTATTTTCAATTAAGCTAGATAATTAACTATTAAATGTTTTTTTAAATATGAATTGTGGAATATTATTAAATCCGTTAGTAGTGTGTGTAGTATAGAGTCGATTTTTTTCAAAATTTCCACGTGTTGTTATCAAGACGGTTTATTCGTAATATGAAGTGTTATATCTTTAAAAGAAGTGGTATCATGGCTTTGCTATTTAAAAAACACCCAATATTGCCAACAAGTGACCTAATGTGGGCAGCTTTAAATTCAACAAGAATTTATACGGGTGTTATCTTAAACCCCGAATATTTCAAAAAGTACAAACTTATCTTATTTTTGTCCTAGAATTGATCAATGAAAATACGAAAAAAAAAACCGCAACCTCAATTTCGGCGTAAACTATGCAAAATTGGAATAGGAATTTCTTAACAAAGTAACCTTTTTTTAACCAAGGATTCGAAAATTGTCGAAATATACAGAGTGTTACATTTAAAATAACACTTTTGGGACACCCTGTATCAACAAAATTGTAATATTTTTAAAATCTTCAGGAGAGTCCAAGAAACTTTTGTACGAACTGTATCTCGCATGTGTTTCCAGAACGTATAGTGGATCGTTTTATTTGGCACACGGTGTACATCAATGATTTTTGTTTATTCTTAGTGGAACCAAATTTTACACTATCTTGTCTTGGACATTATTATCACATTTTCTTTTGGGTGTCATATTTTTGTCCAGCAACCAATCTTAAATTTTCCATGAGGTCACTGGATAACTAAGTTTACACGAACGATAGGAAGCGTTATCCACAACGACAACATTTTATTGTCCATTGTTGGGAAAATTGGGAATTAGCTACTAGTTAAAGCATTGCTCAATCATTCAGAACGAAACGCGGGGACCTTTTTTTGTAGGTCCTTTAAGACCTGTTGTTAAACCCTTTAAAAAAGCGTCTTTCCGATCTATTATGGTATTGTCGCACCAAGCATAATTAATCGTATGACCCACATTGACCCAACTCACATCTAAATACTACAATTTTGTTTCTTGATCGACCTTAAACCTATACCTAGTAGTAGTAGGGTAATAATATTTTGATATACGATATCATTTTTTTAAAATGACGTTAATTTTTTTAACACATGGATCCAAATAGTACATCAATTTCTGTCCAGCTTTTGGGTTTATCTAGTTTGACGCCCAAAAAGTTTTGTTTTGTCTTGTTTGATTACTCGATTTA